AATTCAACATCCTAGCTTGAAAATTCAAGTTACTAACTTGAAAATTCAACATACTAACTTGAAAATTCAACATACTAACTTGAAAATTCAAAATACTAACATATACTTACTTGAAAATTCAACATATTACCTAGTATGTTGAATCTTCAAGTTAGTATGTTGAATTTTCAAGTTAGTATGTTGAATTTTTAAGTTAGTAACTTGAAGTTTCAAGTAAGTGTGTGTTAGTATGTTGAATTTTCAAGTGAGTATCTTGAATTTTCAAGTTAGTATCTTGAAAATTCAAGTAACTAAATTCAACTTACTAGCTTGAAAATTCAAGATACTAGCTTGAAAATTCAAGATACTAGCTTGAAAATTCAAGATACTAACTTGAAAATTCAACATACTAACTTGAAAATTCAAGTTACTAACTTGAAAATTCAAGTTACTAACTTGAAAATTAAAAAAAGAAAATGAATGGCCCTAATACGCTTCAGTACATTACTAATCACAAAGGACTTTATGTGATAAAGAATATTTTTAGATTAGCAATGTCATCAAACACTTAGTATTAGTATAAATTCTAGATCCACAGACATCTGATTGGAATGGTGCAAATTGATGCTATCTGTGTCCCCGATACACATTCAAATTTTAGAAAACGTCTTTACAATGCCTTTAAATGAAAAAACTTATTGTAAACTAGTTTGAATTTCAGTTCAGAATTTACAATTCCTTTAAAGAAATACATTCGATCAATTGCAATTTACAAAAAAAAATAAGTAAGCTTATATGTTCAAGGACACACAAAGCAATATTGACTAACAGAAAATTCATTTGGTACATCCTCGATATCATTGTTCTTAAGGTTCTTCACAAAGAAAAATCAATTTTCTCCTATCATGTTTTTGACACAGTCACTCTTTGATTAAGACCAACGGAATAATGAATGACTTTCTTGACCAAAATTGAAGAGTGAACATTGAAGTTGTTAGAATGACTGATTATTTGACATTATCATTTATTTTCAGCTTTTTCAACAATCAGTTAACTGAAGCTTAACACTTTTAATTTCATTAGAGTTTGTAATTTGGTTCTTCAATGATTTTTAAGCATTGATTTTTACAAGACAAGTGCAGTTGATCTGGTGACATTTGATGGCAATACAGTAGGGATCATTTTTAGTTTCCCAAACATAACCATAAAAATACATGCTTTAGTTAAAATTCAGCCCCATTTCTTTTAAAATATTCAGTCACCATTTGTGTGAAGAAATAGACCTCAAACTTTAGTCATTAAAAAAATTGCTTTACCAGCAAACATTAATGTCTGCTGTCCATAGCATTTTTCAAACTTGAATCTAAAATCTGATTAGACCACCATTCAACAGAAAAGTATGACATTGATTTAGACCATCATCACTTCCTATAATTTGACATTTTTGTGTGCACCTTATACCAATGCACCATAACTACAGTGAGATCAACACTATAGAAGTGACAACAGTCTTAAGCAAATATTCAATTCCATGCTCTATTCTATGCTTTTAAAATCATTTCATCATAGCAGTCTGAATTTCAAAATGGTTCCAAAACGATCATTTAAAAATTATCAAGTTACGAGAGTGAAAAGAACACAATGTTTCCTCAGTGGAAGGAGAAGACTTAACACAAGGTTCATTCTGACCTCTGAAGAATGGTCATAGTAATGATAATTTTAAGCATGATTAATGAAGCCCACCTCAAGACCTCAAGAAAAAACAAATCAACAAATAAGGCACAAGAAATTTCTTCTGTCAAGATTAGATTGCTTTGATCACAATTTGGTAGTGAAAGAATGTCATTTTATATCAGATGACTCTCATTCCAGTCTGTCTGTCAAAAAATCAATAATTCTACTATTGAGTAGGCCTATCAATTTTCATTATAAGCTTTCCATTTGTACAAGTAATCAGTTTCAAGGTCAATTTTTAGACTAGAGAGTAAAACCCACACAGTTTTCTTATCAAAATGGAATTTCAACAAATTCAAATGAAGGTACACGTACCTAGAAGATTGTTGAACATAATCTGGGTGGAATGGTTGTGACCTACATAGATCTAGGTCATGTTCCATATTAAATAGGAATCACAATGCCATTTGGATCAATCTAATTCTATTTGATAGGATCTGTTAACCTTCTATTGCTTAAAGGGCTAGACAGTTTTTCAATGAGTTTTTGTGGTCTTGAAATACATAATTCTTCGTGGCAACATCGAAGATGCCCCTTACCTTTCATGAAAGTTTCAGCGTGAAAAATCCAAGCGTTAAGTCACAATCGATAGAATAATTCTTAAAGGATTATGAAAGTTTTTAAATCTCGTGGCCACCATTTTTACTGTTCTGGAAAATAGCAACTACCCAATTATGTGCATGTTATTCTTAGATATCTATGATTATGAGAGCTTAATTTTATTGGACCAATTGAACCAATCAGCGTTAACTACACATATTTCCAACCGGAAGAGGCAGTAAAAAATAAAAGTAGCGAACAACGATTTTGCTATAATGATAATAATCCATAATTAACATGTAACAACCGGAGAAGTACACAAACAAAGTTAATACAAAGTAATACAAGTTAATACTAATTTTTCTGATCGCAAAATTTGTCCTCATTTGTAAACAAAACCTTCTGCGCATGTCTATTGTCTCGGAATTCCTCTCCCAGACGCTAAGAAATCATTCATGAGAAAACACATTGAGTTAACTTCAAATTTGATGTTTTAAATGATTCCTCTGTGGCCAGGTAAATTTATAGAAAGCATATACAGGGTTTAGATCTAGTTTCACACTTAATTAGCTTAATTCTTCACGTTAAAACCAGTCAAGCCCTTTAAACAAATCAAATTTAAAGCTTTTGACAAGTGTAGAGAAAAACTCGAATAATAAATCCCCTGATTTGATTATTGAAACTTGTAGGTTATTAGTATATTTGTATTCCTTGATCCTGAAAACATAAGAGTGCATACCTTTGATTGAAGAGTTGGATACAAGACAACATTTTAAAACCTGAAATTGTTATAACTGTGATGCATATTATGCATTACATGTTCCATCAGGTCAAAATTGTAGCTCAACATGTATATAAAGGTGCACAGGAAATATTGACAACGGGATAGTTCTCCAAGGATCTACAATTTATTACAGCGCTCAATGGTGGCTATGATTGCTAGTACCCAACTATTTCCACTAACTGATCTAAAGTTTTCTTTTTTTTAATTTGAAGGACATTTATGAAATGACTCTACACCCCTTTAATCATCTGAGTTCATTTGAAAAGCAAGTACTTTGTGATCAATATCTGCTGATTGTGTCTGCATGTTGAAACAGACTGTTTAATGACAAACATAAATCATTTATTACCCATTATGTTATAAAGTGCACATTATCATCCAAGGATGAAAAATAATTTATAACTTGAAGACTGTTTAGGATTTCTATCTTGCTCAAAATAGTTTTCCTAGTTTCATTATTCTTCTTGAAGACTTCTTCAATAATAGATTTCCAATCTTCTTATATAGGATTGTATTATTATTATTAAAGCAATATCATGTTTTACAAAGATAGATCATTCCTTTGGGTTTCTTAAAAACTGCTCTTATTTTAAGGCTCGTTCCTGGGTATTATTAATTAATAACACTAGATCATTTTGTTAAAATGAGAATATTTGGAGTTCTATCAAATCTTTTTAGTATATCTTGGTTTGACATATATACAAGTATACATCTAGAAAGATTGTACAGTAGGTTTCAATTGCTATATGATGGAGATGACATGAATGAAATTTAAATACTTATATGATGTGTGTTTGCTTAAAATACACAATTTGCTTTCATCTAATAGATGTAGAAATTGTGACTGACATGACTAGAGGTTATTAAAGAAATCATCCAAAAACTTTTTCCAAGAACTTTGTATTACGTCTCTGTCTCTAAATTTTTCTCCAAGAGATGACAATACTCTCTCATATAATATCTCCTTTAAATAATGTAAGTTTAGTGACATTGCATAGGTGGTCAAACCTCCGCACCCATAGTCAACTGTCTATTGACGTAAAATAGATCTTTTGATATAACCTAGTCTAGAGTATCATTACATCATCATTTTGAATACACATTGTCATATCACAAACCACACCCTAATTCAAGTAATTGTGGATGATAATCAATAGATTTTGAGCTGAAACACAATATAAGATATACAATATTAAAAGTGTCAACTTACCACTGCATCCAGAAAGTCTATTATTCTGGATAGAAGTGACTTTGTTTTGCAAAACTCACGGAATAATTCACGTCCTATAGGCTGTTGGTCAATTATATATTTGTAGTTTAACTCTGAAAAAAAACAATAAATCATTGAAAAATATACCAGATATAGCCTTGTGAAGCAAGTTGACCACCAGCTTTGATTTCAAATGCAAATCATTGTTTGTAGCCTGTAGAGTGAGCACGAGCCAAATGTGAACTGACGGACAAACGGAAAACAACGATATGCTTCCCTACTACGTGTGGGCATATAAAAATAGAGTGAAAACGCTAAGTCGGACATGATGTTTCGATGAAAAATTATCAGATCATCACGAAAATCAATATGGATCAACTTCATACTGACAATGACCTACAAAATATAAATTAAAAGAATCCATAAAGAATTGTTGTCTCTAGAGTGATGAAACGACAAATGTGAATGGACGGAGCGATGGGGCGATAACTAATTATCAATTTCTCAGCAATTTCCTTGTACTATGGATGGTGGTCATAGGAAGTGAATGAACTTTGAGATTTTCTCACTGGGGCTATCTTCTGATTTAGTCAATTTGAAACATGAAACTTGTAGATCAATTATATGGTGAATGATTTTGGATACATTTAGGCACTCAAATTACAATTAATATGACAAAGTGGCTCACTGCTATTGTATCACAATCTGTTTTCTAGTTGGACACATTAACCTATCAGGGAACAAACAGTAGAATAATAAGCTGTAATGTATTGTACATTAACCATTTTTGTCTTAAAGGTTAGATCCCAGCTGGAAAGGATGCAAACTTTCAGGATTTGGCTAAAAATCATTATTTTGATCTACTGAATTACGGTGTACTCTGTGATATCCGACATCTGAGCACTCCAACATTCTGAGTAATCTGACATCTTTTCTGGTCCTGCTTTATTTCCTTTTTAAGTCATTTTAAAAAACTTTTAGTATTCCGACATTCTGTGTATTACGAATTTTGACACTAATCAGTGGTCCTGACACTACGGAAATTAAAAAATTGAACTGAAGTGTCCTTTATTATTGTCTTATACTGAAAGGTACTTATCTGGGTCACTGAGCTATATATAGTAGCAATACAAACGGAAAATAGACTTAATGAAGTTAGAAATTTTTTTCTTTGCAGGTGGATTTGTATGTCCTAGTAGTTTTTAAAAAGTGAAAACAGAACTAAAAAATATTGAAAAATAAGAAAGTTATGCGATATTTTAGCCTGTCAAAAAATGGGCGTGGCACATGACAAAATTTCACGTTTTAGGTGAAAATACAACCTGATAGCATAACTTCGCTATTTCTAAAGATAAAATCTTGAAATTTGGACTAGAAAGAGATTGATATGTGCTCTCTTTGATAAACTTTAACAGACACAAAAATATCTTAATTAGATTTTAAGTTATGGCCTTCAAGTTAATGTAAATATTGCAAAATGTGGTCGAGGTCAAGCCACATTTGAGTAGCAATACAAATGGAAAATAGAAATAATTAAAATAAAATAATTTTGTTCTTGTAGATGGGTTATGGTGTACTAGTAGTTGGAAAAAGTGAAAACAGAACCAAAAAATATTGAAAAATAAAAAGTTATGCAATATTAAAGATCTTTAAAAAGTGGGCGTGGAAAATGAAAATTTTTCTCTTTTTCATTGATCACATAACTTGGTCATTTTTGATGATAACATCATGAAATTCTACATGAAAAAATATTCATTTCTCCTATCGATGAAAAACTTTACAGAATTAAAATATCTTGATTAGTCTTCGAGATATTCCATGATGAATGGGGTAAATATTGGAGAAATATGTTTCGTTATTTGTATGATTTCTTCACACTCATTTTATAAGTGATATACTGAACAAGTCATTATAAGATTAAAACTATTTTATAACACATGTAACTTAATCATAATTTAAGCTCCTACTTTCCCAAACCTGAATTGGTTAAACACACACATAGGATAGACCTACCAAAAAGTGAAAGTTGACCTTCTGATCAAATAATGAAATAATATGAAATTATCCGCTCAAAATATACTTTAAACTAAGAAATAATATATGCCTTGTGTGCCTGTAGTAGCCCGTAACAGGACACCTACTTTTTGGGGTTGTCATTTGGCCATTTTTACAATCGGCGATTCGCAGCGCCACCACCGGCCGTTTGCATTGCTATAGTAATATCGTAACATGTAGGTTGAAAAATCTCAAAACTTCTGAGTACAGTACTCCAACAATATTGCTAATCCAATTTTGTTTATGGTCCCAATGTATGTTAGATTACAGAGTATACTGAACTTGGAAATTGTCCTTTCAAAGTTCAAAAAGATTAAGAAAAACCTGTTTTTCATTTTGTTTTCATTTTCAGTATCTGGATAATCCAGGCTATAAATTTTGAATAATGTGTACAGGGAAATAATTAGACTCTTTTTTTCACTTTTATATAAGCTTATGGCTTTAGATTATAAACACAGTTAGATGTAGTTGAAGACTTATGTAGTTTTATGCCTTGAATCTGAATATCACTATCTGATACATAAATCCTTTAAAGTCTTCTAATGAAGTAACAATATGATGCCAGGTAGATGTTTAACTATCAATTAGATAATAAGTTGATAAAATGCCAAAAAGAACAAACATGAAGAGGATAATGCCTTCTAGTAATTCATTAACAACGGATACAAATGACAAGTGACATCAAAGATCACAAAATTATCTTTTTGAGATGAAATTTGTTTTTTAAATTGATAGATTTTGTTACTTATGGTACGGTATAAGCTTAGTAGAATCAAAATTTCAATGGCCATTTTCAAAGTCAGGTCAGGTTTTCATCTGAAAACTCAAGACACTGTTTTACTTCCTATGACCTATAACATTCTTAAAGCTGCATGGACAAAACCAAAAAAGATTTGTTTCAAAATTTTCTTTTGTCCATTGCAACATGTCTTGATATATTGCAGTGTATCATTTCCATTTTTTGAAAAAGAGAGAACTGTCTCTTCAGTAACCAGAATATAAAATGACTTGATTCGATTAGGACACAGGCAGAGAAGCAATTTTAATCACCGGCATAAATAATCAGCCTAAATTATCTTAACATTTTTTATGTCAGCAATTCAGGTTTTTTGAGCAATTTCAAATTTGCAGCTATCTGCCGATAAAATACTCTCGTATGCCCCAGGCTTTTCGAAGTTTTCAAACATAAATACCCCCAAATGTAGGTGAGAATTAGTTCAAATTGTACATCTAATGTCAAGCCAAGAATACATCCCTACTTACATACTGAAGAGAATACATTAACACAGAAAGGGCCAATTACTACATCTTTCTCCCTTAAAACTCCTTAAACACCCTTTGTGTCGTATTTTCAAGTGTAGTCTTTGAATACCTTTAGATACAAAAACAACGTCTCGAATTAAACCATACTATCAATATTCAATACTTAATCAAAAAAACATCACTTAGCACTAATTATAACCTCTTAAAATATACTTAGGTATTTATCTAAATGCATGACTTACATACTTTGAGATAATTTCACTCTTACCTATTAGTATTAGTATGAAAATTATTACCAGATACTTAACAGAACCTTTACAATATGATATCTTTAAGTAAACATTCATTTTTTTGCAGTGAATAAAAAGTTATGCGTTTTCAAGACCCTAGTAGTAGAGTTCACCTTTAAGATATTGGATCAGATACACGTAAATGTAAACATGCAGATGGTTGGGTGATTGGAACAAAATATAGACTGTTGGGACTTTGTATCCAAAATCCATTTTAGCAGAACACTAGAGTATTCTCCTATTTTGAATTTTTGCTCTGGTTTAGCAAGATTGATAAATCAATGGAAGGTAAACTTTAATACTGTCAAATATAACTTTACTTACGTATTTCATTCTTCATAGACAAACATTGAGAAATATGAGGAAATCGTAAAATTTGTTTCCACTTTTTACTTTTTCCCTTTCTTTTACCACCGCCACCTAAAAATAGAGAAAAAAGACCAGTAAGACCACAATTCAAAAGATATACACTCATAATAAAGAGATCAACTACAAATGTCAATAAATTAAATCAAATAAAACTGTTATGAAACTGTATTTAACCGACTATATACACATATACCTTGGGTATTTGATGGCATATATATATTAAAATTTCTATACTGAAATCTTGATGCTTATACTATTCATTGTGTAAACTTATTCCTCAAACTAGTATAACTTTTTGAGCAGATAATAAATATATTATCATTTTAAATCTACAGAGCTCTTTTCTGACTAGATTTAGACTGCAATTTAGAAGAAAATGTTTTCATCTGCTACATAGAGATACGAGTTTGATGTATGTTATATTCTTGTTATCAAAGTTTCATTTTCAACTTGTTTCAAATATTGACCCCCTGTCCACATAGTTAAATTCAAATGGTCGCTGAATTCTTCACGTTTTGAGAAAGTCTGGTTCCCAAGTTCCTAAAAAGCGGTCCACTTGACATGAAATGACCCAAATATTATTGAACTCCAATTTCTGTCCTTGTGTTCATATACTCTCTCATGAGTATATTAATGAGAGATCTTGACAGAGTGATTTTGATTTTGGACCCCACCCATCCAAGTATTTATAATTAGCTAAATATCAAACTACCAGTATTTAAACATAAGATAAAATAACATTCACAATTTTGACAAGAATAACAATATGAAATTCAGAAATACATAATATGGTGAAATAACATTTTTCAAGTTGCGTCCAACGATTCTATAAATTCTTGAGAAGGGCTGTCATTTATAGCATCTGAAAGTTTCTAAATTTATGGACTATAGTTAGATCGCAATATTACTATCACTTGACAAATCACTGGTAAATACCGGAAGTAAACAGTCTAGCCCAAGAAGACACAATGAAATTCACTATTCATTACCCAGTCAGATTCAGCATTGCAGAAAATGCCTAGGATTGACAAATGTTATAGCATTACTCAGCAAAAAGTTTGCAGGAAGAAAGTCTGTCTCAAGCTGATTGACCTACATTTGTTCAGTACACAAATCTCACACCAGCAAAGGGAAAATAGGACTAATTCTTAGTGTTCATTTAACTAAAATAGAAAACCGTCATAGTTTCTTTTTTCAAACGCAAAGGTGTTGACTGATATAAATGGCACAGTATACTGTTTATCGGATTTGGGACACTACATGAGCTTCCATCCTTCCAATTTTTATTTAATTTATTTATGACTTCACAATCATTTTTTAAATCACAAGAACAACTTCAAATGGGAACATTAGAAAGGTAAAAATACATGCAAATGGCTAGTCATATAATAGCTAGTAGGCCTAAATGTCAAGTGAACTGTCACATATTAAAATTTACCTATTTTATCAAAATCAATGCATGTAAGCTATATATATTATAATCTGTTAGACTGAGGCTGGTACCAACATCCAATGTATCAGTCGATTGGAAATAGACTTAGTTTTTTTTATAACTAAGCTTATCTGATTTGTGTGCTCAAGTGGCATCTTTATAATTTTCATATTTTCTGTCTTTGAGTTGATTTAAATTTACATCTCTGTGACAATGCTATCCTGGTTAGCGGTTTTATTTAGGGTAGAGAATTGTACAGTATTGATGTGATGGTCTGTGAGCTATGACATTTGACAGTGGACTGTTACAGTGTTTGACAGTTAATCCTGTGAATATATGCAGAGTAAATTTAAATTATGTGCTGGCCTGAATCATATGTAGTAATTCAATCAAAAATGCTTCTATAATATCAATGAGTTTATAAAACTCGAACCTGAATCATTTATACAATTGATAAAAAAAAAGCCAACAAAGTTCAATTCTTCATTCAGTTGAACTTAGACTGTCAGTGTCGAAGAGTAGAGAGAATAGTAAGGAAATTATTGGGTCAGACAAAACTGCCATGTATTACGAAAATAATCAGTTCTTACCAGTGGCATGTAAACTAGAATATCAAGTGGATGGTTCAATTATCCAAAAGAAATGAAGTACAAATTGAAAAATGAAATAATAAAGTCAAAAAATTAATGCTCTGATCGGTCAATTTCGCTGCCAGACCGAAAAAAATGTAAACACGACCCTTTTCATATAAATTCAACCTTACCTTCACGTGCTTTTAAATAAACAGTATTTGCAACAATATTTTCCAATTCCATTTATACAGTCAGAATAGTTGGGTTTCAAAAAGGGCATATAAAGCCCTGATTGAATCCACAGTATTTTTATTGACGGCTTGGGTGTGGTGGAAGGGTTCAGCAATATGGCGGACTTCATCAAGAGATTACAAAAATACACGATTTTGATTGGTCAAAATTCCCATTCCGTGCTTATCGGCTAGAAATTGATCGAAGTCTATGGCACATCGGCACTCTCTTCAAGAGCCGTCTTATTTTTCACTGTAATAGTAATAACAACAATCTTATGCTTGGTTCATGCCGTAAAAGAAAAAATGAAACAGAAAAACTAATGATCAAAGTAATGTTTTAATTAGGCATACCATTAATTATAAACAGGTGCGCGTTTTTTCCGTGCCTCCTCTACGGTTCTACTATAAATTAGTAGTATAGTTGAGATGCTGCTGAGTCACACACAGAAGTTATAGTTATGCCTAGGCTACATAAAAAATGTTAACGATATACTCTGGCAAAAGTATTCATTCAGCTATTATTGGGGCCTAAAATAGCTTTAAAGTTTATTATAACTTAATTTCTATTCTTCCGTGTTTCATTTATTTATGCTATCAATCCAGGCTCAGGCCCAGGGCTAGAACTTATAGTTATCGTTAACTTTCCATAGCCTATCAAATAAATGATAGCTTGATTGTCAAGGAAGATAACATACACCCACTGGCAGCTTTGATTTCGAATAAAACATATTGACAGTACAGTAACAATCACCAGTATGATATATTCAACCTTCAGTCAAACACTTACCCTGGTCTTTTGGGGGTGATATAGTGGCGTATCTACGGAGGCAAGAGGGGCGGGTGGGGGGGGGGGGGGGTGGTCATGGTCACTCACCCCCAGAAAAGAGGCTGGCCCGGCCGTGGCCCCCGATTTTAAATTTTATTATCATGTTACATAGTGAAGACAGAATGGCCTGTGCCCCCCACCCCCCACATATTGCTTCCTTGAAACACCACTAGATGTGATACTGAGCTTAAAATTGAATGTGTTTTTAAGACCGCTGGAGGTTAATAACTCATACTAAATATTTTTGATTTTGCTGACTCAATAGGGTCTATCTTTGGGTAATAACAAACACTCCACTGAGTTTCGTCAAAATCTGTCTTCTAGAGTTTTTACAAGGTATAGATTACACGCGTTTTCAAACAAGGGCAACAAAACATACTAAATAGTTTTAGATTTTTCTAAATTTTCAACATCTTTAGGTTATTACAAACAGTTTTATTAAAAACAAATTCCATCAAAATCCGCTAAGAATTGTGGCTTCCAGAGTGTTTACGAGCAATTGTTGTGGACAGATGGACCCATTTCATGTGGGTGTATAAAAATGAAGTTCTGTATCTATATTTTTCCCATCTCTTGCAAAAGGTTGTTAAGGCCTAAAAGGATGCAATGCCAGTGTTTCACCGAATGGCCATTCATACCTACACCAGTGCAACCACTGACGGTACCCAACTGTATTTTTCATATCTATATGGATTAAATACTACCGGTGATTTTAATATATACTATAATCATATGCTGTATTAGACATAGGTGCATAAGTTAGCCTAGACTATAAATTTATATAATGTAATACCATTGTAACATTGTGCAGCAATGGCAGAATGATGTGTTTCCGGTTAGGCTAGTGTATGTTTATTCCCCTGGAGTCCACTTTTCATTAAAAAAACGCTGCCTTACATCGTATGTATCATTAATACGGGTTTTGCCCCGAGGAAGTATGACGAATGGGGGTGTGGTTTGGACACGATGGCTGTATTACTGATGCGGGGTGTATTTTTTAAAAATTCTTGTCATAAAATAACTGTTCTGATCAGTTCCCTCCCTTGAATTGTATGAAAATATTTTCTTCAGTTACCCCCCTTGAACTTTTGAAATTCGTTAGTCAAGGCACGTTTTTTCGTTTTCGCCTTCCTGATTGATGTGTATGTATTCGGCAATCCTCGATAGTAAAGCTGAATCTTAGCGCTAGGGTAACTTTCACCTGTAGGCCGTTAGTTATTGTGTGTTGGGGAGCAATGATGGGTGTGATTCCAGTCAGGGTAGGCCTATGCTTACTCTTCTAGACAACTGACACCACTTTTCATTATGAAATACTTAAGTTGATATGTACCTCCTCATGTGAAAGTTCATTAGCTACTAGCCTACCTATGTTTCGTCAGTTGGCCTTAAGTTCTTTTGGATTTCTGTCAGGTTTCGTATTTAGGTTCAGATCGTTAGTAGCCTGCCTGGTTTGTTTATTTCAAGCACAGGTCTCAGGAGATGTTTCATGCCTAAAAACAACACTATATCTATATAGGGTAGCCTATTGTTCTAACCTCTTCGTAAATTCAATTCCTATACAATTTTACGACTCGCATCCATAGACGGGGAATTAGAATTTCTAAAGTTTGACAAGATAACAATACAGATCTACTGACTGAAGGGAGGTAAATCTTACTTGTCTCTAAATAAAATTTAGTCATTTGATAAAATTCAAGACGAGGATCGCACTTAGGCCTATTTTCATTATTTTATTCGGTTTATTTATTATATATCTTTCTAGTTTCTGCATGTTTTCATTTTAAACATTATTTCCGATATAAAATATTAATACGTCGATTCCATCATAACACATTTTAATTAAAGCTATAGATAGGCCTATGCGCAGTTCTGTATATTTTAAAAGAGCAGACTAGCCTACATCCTTCCCTTGATTAAGTGGATTTTACTGTTTTGCCAATTTTTGTCTGCATCTATGTAAACTACAGGGCCATTCCCTGGAAGGATCTGTAGGCTCGCATAACAGATGAGTGGGGCCGTGGACTCTTGGGCCCCTCCCATGGGAATTTTTTTAACATATTTCTTCTACATTATTTTCTTGGGTGTGGGGGTCTCCTTTGGGTCAAGAGTTGTGTATGAAGTCGTCAAAGGACAGTCGGTTTGTTGATATTGCGTATATTGCCGTCACCTCTTTCCGTCGGTCCGTCCACAATTGCTCGTAAACATTCTACAAGGCACAATTCTTGACTGATTCCGACGAAACTTGGTATGGTTGTTTGTAATTACCCAAGGATGAACCCTATTGAAAATCAGACGAATCGAAAAATATTTACTATGAGTTATTGCCCTTGTTCTTGAAACGCTCGTAAACACTCTAGAAGGCAGAATTCTTGATGGATTTTGACAAAACTTGGTGTGAGTGTTTGTAATCACCCAAGGATAAACCCTATCGAAAATCAGAAAAATTGAAAACTATTTAGTATTAGCTATTGCCCTTGTTCTTGAAAGCGCGTTCAATTTTTAGTTTGTAAACTCTAGAAGGCACAATTCTTAACGGATTTCGACGAAACTTGGCATGAGTGTTGGTTATCACCCATGGATAAATCGTATTGAAAAACAGAAAAATTGAAAAATATTTAGTATGAGTTATTGAAAACGCCTTCAAATTTTTCCTTGTAAACACTCTAGAAGGGTCAATTCTTGACGGATTTTAACGAAATTTGGCTTGAGTGTTGGTTATCACCCAAGGATGAATCCTATTGAAAATCAGAAGAATCTAAAAATATTGAGTTTGTGTTATTGCCCTTATTGTTGAAAACGCGTTCAATTTTTAGCTTGTAAACACTCTAGAAGGCACAACTCTTGACGGCTTTTAACGAAATTCGGCTTGAGTGTTTGTTATCACCCATGGATAAAGCCTATTGAAAATGAGAAAAATCGAAAAAATATTTAGTATGAGTTATTACCCTTGATCTTGAAAACCCGTTCAATTTGTAGCTCATAAAAACTCTGGAAGTCATGATTCTTGCCGAATTTTGACAAAACGTGGTCTATTATTGATTACCGCGTTGAAGATTGAATATTTGTCTTCTAGAGTTTTCACGAGCTAAAGATTGAACACGTTTTCAAGAACTAGGACAATAACTCATACTCAATATTATTCAGTATCGCCCTAAAGAGTTCAAAAGAAGTGTATGACTGAAGGTTGAATATTTCATACTGGTGATTGTTACTGTACTGCTAAATATTTATGTTCAAAATCAAAGCTGCCAGTGGGCGTATATTACCTTGCCTGGCAAGCTATCTTTAACCCTGGTTTTCCAAATGACTGAATCAGGTTTTCCGTAAGACTCTAGTCTCTTACTTTCTTGGTTTATCATTTAATCTTGGGTAACTTTTTGTTAATTCACCATAAAGTATTACTTCTTCACTTGGCCACCTAATATATGTTACAAAAGACATCTTGATTTATCAAGCACAAATCAAAATGGTAAACTTTTCTCTGCACTTAATTGGGATATTAAAAAATATTAGTTAAATACATACATCATAAAATATTGACGAGAATATAAACATTATATTTAATAACGGAGGGAATGTAGGTTTTCGACCACAATCTGGTACACAGCTGATTAAGGGGTAAGCATTCCCTGTAGCAATAACACAACAATAATTTACAAAGTCATGATTATGCTCTTGGCGGTTAAGAGTTCAAGAATGCAAGGGATCTTCAAAATAAAAGTATGTCAGTTTATTGTAAGCATGCCATGTCACACTCTCAATCCTAGCGTCATTTCTGTGTCTTCTATCAAAACAGATGAATTCAGAAAAGTATCTACAGCAGTCGAGTTATATTTTTGTGTATATATATAACTTCTTGTACAATGTAGATTATTGAAACGTGTGTAATAAAACTACGGAGTAGTATACCATAAAATTGTGTCCATTATTTAATGTGATCTCTACCCCTAAATGTCGCTAAAGGATTATCTACGTGATCAATATGGAGATTCGACACTTTAGGACTTTAATACCCTTAAGAAGGTAGGACAGAAATATATAAAGATTAGCAACAACCTGACTTTTTTTTACTAAGGTTTACTGCCACTCCTAATCCCTAATTAATTGTTGCTAATGTTATATTTTTGTGTATATATATAACTTCTTGTACCGTATTTCCTCACTTCACCTGAAGATGACAATGTAGATTGTTGAAACGTTGTGTGTAATAAAACTAAGGAGTAGTATACCATAAAATTGTGTTCCGTTATTTAATGTCTCTAAATAGAATTAAGTCATTTGATAAAATTACATTTTTATTCGGTGTATTTATTATATATATTTCTTGTTGCTGCGTGTTTTCATTTTAAACATTATTTCCAATATAAAGTATTTATACGTCGATTCCAGCATTACACATTTTTAATAAACGCTAACTTTGACGGATTATATGCGCCGTTTTATATATTTTAAAAGAGCAGGCAAGCCAGCATCCTTCCCTGGATTTTACTGTCTTCCAATTTTGCAAATCATTTTTATCTAAACCTCAGAACAAAAGAAAGTTTTTATCTACTTCACATGACCAAACAAAAAAGGCATAGGCCTATATGTGAGATTTATGGTAATTAGTTATCAGACAGTTGAATGTGTGAACTTCAGCATGGAAAGCAGATCCGGAATGAAGTGATTTTGAAGTGTGGAGTATCATGTTGGTCAATAGGTTGTAGTGGTGACTATTATTTAGTGTAAGGTAGGGCATCATCTGATAATTATTCTAACCCCGACATAGCTATCCTTTACAACCCCCCTAGCTCGAATCCCTAACAACTGAAACGTTAGCCATAGGCCATACCAAGTTTCGTTACAATCCATAATCAGAAACAAAGGACCAGCAAACCTATATTATGACTATTAGGCATAACCTAACACAATCCTAATTCGAGAGAGAAACGATAATAGGAGCGTGTAAGGGATACCTACATCGGAACTAGTATGATCGTCAGATAATGATAAACCCAACAACAATTGATAGTCGAGATAACATTAAGATACCTACTCATCATGAACATGTGTCAACAGAAACCTCCACAAATCCAGCACATTCCAATCTGAAGCAGCTCTCGTAAAAAACAATATGCGTTCCAGCCTTGGGAGTCAAAGCAGCAATGATCACACAATTGGCTGCTTCGGTGACCCTTGAAAAACAAACTTCAGCACGACCAAAGGTCGACAAAAGAAGCTGATCGTCAAGGGCAATAACTGATACTAAATATATCTCGATGTATTTGATTTTCAATAGGATTTATCCTGGGGTGATAAATAAACACTCACCATGTACAAGTTCCGTTAAGAATTGTGCTTCTAAAGTGTTTACGGGTAATTGTGGACAGTGTACAATTGCTATCGTGACATATATACATGTGGTGTGGAGATAAGGAATAAAAGCACGTCCCTTCCCAACTTTTTCATATTGTATATTTGAATATGAAGGACATTGGCTGCTATCGGTCTATATCTTTTATATCATAACATTATTTTGAAAGGATTTAGCTTTTCCTCAACCCTATCTAAATCAAGGTAAAATTGGCTACAAGGCCTGACCATCTAAAGAGTTGACTATCTGCTAATTTCAAGGAACTGAATTTGGTTTATGTAGTCAAATTTCTGATTTCCTAATATTAGCAATGGACAAGATCAAGATAAAATAATTATTTCTTGAATGGTACGCATTATAAACTTGAATGGAAACCATATAGGAAACTGTAGACTATCCACCAAAGAAGATAGATTGTCATTTCTATCGTGATACAAACTAATATGATTCTTGGTTAAAGTCTCTATTGACATCATTCCTTTGTTATTTCCATCATATAAAACCAAGAATGAAAATAATGTAGTTGACTCAATATTAGTCCATTTTTCTCTTAATTTCTTTCTTTAGCCTGAAATTATAATCAAAACAAATTAATAAGAAAAATACACAAAAGAAAATTTTAAAGATGACATAATTTCCACTTAATCGCAGTGTTTATTTTTCAATTCTTAAATAAATTTATTCCCTTCAGATCTTTTAGTAGCTGTTTTCTGAAAGCGAATCTTTCAAAAATACTTTCCACAAAATCTTTATTAGAACTCTATGATGTATATAAATCAGAGATTTATGTAAAAGTTAGTTAGGGTGAAAAGGGTTAAGTGAAATATTGTTAGTGTGATTGGTTAATATTGGCGTTGAAATATATAATTATTCCATAATACCTAAATTTCTGAATTATATACACCATAGAATACTGATTGAATAAGTATTGAGAATCTGAAAACAGACAATTTCATTTGAAAAGCTTTAAAATTTGACAGAAATTTTTTTTTTGTAACTGAAGGAAACTTCAAAACATTTGTAACCATCTGAAAATCTTGTGTGGTTTCTTAAATGCTTTCATGACAAAGACCAGTTTATGTCATGGGTTGTTCTTAAATTCAAAATCAAATAACTTATGGTACTACTCTTAGTAATAATTTGTACCATTTTAGAGTAGAATTGTCTTTAATTATATTAAGGCATTATTTTTGCTTCAGGTTAGTTGACCAAAATTAACAGGGGAATCGAACATTGTCTTTTTTAAAGGGACAAACCGGTTTTTGCAGGTCGAAAAATATTTTTGAATTTGTTTAAACTATACACCAAAATCTAGAGAAATGTGCCCTTTAACGTAGCAGAAAGTTTAGATCCAGTTAATGATTTTTAAATGCCAAAAATATTCTAAAACGTTACGTAGGGTTTTTTATGTTCGTAAATTAATAATAATGAGATAGCACCTTGTCCTGGACTTTGATATATCTACCGTCTGATAAAATCCACAGGGACAAACTTTCTCAACATTCTTTTTTATTGTTTATTTTGTATCACAAATTATAATAATAATAATGATAATAATAATAATGGGATAAAAATAATAATGGGATAATAATAATAATAATAATGGGATAAAAATAATAATAATAATGTGAATAGTATCTCGGGTAGAATATAGCACTTGTCCTCAACCGTTGTTTTGGATGAAAATAAAAGGCCGCACTTTAGGTTAGACTTTGGAATATCTACCGTCTGATAAAATCCACAGAAACAAAACCTAACCATGACACTTCAGTCTTGATTTAAACACCCTCTCAAGGAATTGCCAAAATGAATAATGTCAGATTCATAAGGTTTCTAATCTTTGCCGTAGGACATATGACACCACCTTCGAGGATCATGCAGCAAAATGGTCCCCTCACCTACTACATGACCACTTCCAGAGTATCACGCTGACCGACCATCCAATTTAGTAAGTGACAATACACAAATCATCCCTACTGTGAGAGGGATGTTTCCTAAAATAAGACTTTACAATAAGTGCTATTTACCTACAATTTTAACAACTCCCCTTATCCTAAAGAAGTTGTTTTTACAGAGAAAACTTCCTGATGACCTTCAAAATACACACAAACTTGAATCTACCCTTATAAATCTGATGAGCTTTAAAGAAATACTAAATCTATGTTTTTTTAAATTCCTGTAGATGGATATATCTACTATAAAATCTTTTCTTTCGAAAACAATAACATTTCTTTAAAAACATCCATTCTTTACGTCTTATATGATACACAGTTCATCAGATTGTAGCCACAGTCAGACTTCCCTCACAGCCTAAAGAAGTCCCTTTTTCTCTTCAAGCAGTTGGATAGAGAGAAAGTATCAGATAGATAAAAACACATTCACACTTTACTGAAGTTCATCAGGAAGTGACAAAAACACCAAAAGAAAAATAAAATATTCAATAAATAGATTCTATAACTTGATTATTTCAATAACATCTTTTTAGTTTTATTGTAAAATTTATTTGTTCAAACTTTATTCATATTAGACAACTTTGTTTCTGGTTAAGAAGTGCAGCATAGCTTTTATTACTTTAAAACATATATCTTCAATAAAATAATTCATTTTAATCCTGTTTTATTACTAATATTATATATTATAAACATATAACTTTTGTGATCAGTTCTCTCCCTTGAAAATTTAAAATTAAATTAAAATAATTTTCATAAGTTATCTTCCTTGAACGTTTGAAATTGATCAGTAGGCCTATCGTCAGAACATAATGGATGTTTTTTGTTTTGGTAGGCTAATACCACTTTTCATTATGAAATACTTATTTGTAGCATACTGAAGTGTTTACCTTTAAATTATTATTCTTTATTATTGTCATGTGACCTATTGTGATCATGTGATAATATCAACCAATCAGATTATTTAATAAAGCTTAAGTGCAGTACCTACAAAATGGTGTCCTCTATAACACAAGTGAAAAATAGAAATATGGAGAAAATTCAGCCTCCCCAGCCCATGAGTTTCAGTGGAAACATTGCAGAGAATTGGAGAAAATGGGAGCAAAGGTACAGAATTTATATGAAGGCTGCAGAATTGTCCGAAAAAGACAATGATGTGCAGGTGGCTATTTTGTTACACACTGCAGGCCCAGAGGCAGTCGATATCCATGATACTTTTGTTTGTGGCGCAGGAGAAGATAGAGTGGCAGTTGAAACGGTTATTGAAAAATTTAAAGCCTACTGTCAGCCTAGAACAAATGAAGTATATGAAAGATATAAATTTTGGGAGCGTAATCAGCTTGAAGGTGAATCTATAGACCATTGGGTGACAGAATTGAAGTCAAAAGCTGCATTATGTGAATTTGGAGATCAAAGAGACAAAATTCCAGAGCAGCTGAAGCTTGCAAGCAACAAAACTATGAATGGTGAAATTGCTGCTGTAGATAGCATACAAAACTTTTCAAGAAGAAAACATTCTGCATGTCACAGACACAATGAAAATAAATACAAACCTAAACGAACACTGAATCATACTGACAGATCACAGGACAGTTCTAAAATATCAACAGACTGTAAATACTGTGGTTTTGAGAATCAACCAAGGAAATGTCCAGCCTGGGGTAAAAGGTGCAAGAAATGTTATTGAAGAAATCACTTTGCAGGGGTATGTAATAGTACTAATAAAACAAGAACCAAAGATGTACATGATTTTCATGAAACTGTAGACTCTGATAGCAGTGATTATAGTTATGAAGATACACTCTTCATCAATACAGTAGATACTAATAGTAACCTATTTGTTGGAAGTCTCAACAGTGATGATAAATGGCATGTTGATGTTCATTTAGAGAATACTGGTCCTGTAAGATTCAAATTAAACACTGGAGCATAGACCAATATTTTACCTTTGTCAGTGTAGAAGAAAATAAATCCTCGTCAACTACCGCGAACAACCAACACAGTTTTACATGCATTTGGTAACTCAAAAATCAGACCAATTGGTAAAACAGAAGTAAAGTGTACAATAGGAAGTACAGTGAAGAATCTACAATTTTATGTCACTGATAGAGCAGATACAGCTATTTTAGGGCACAGAGCATGTGAAAAGTTTAATCTAATACAGGGATTAGAAGTAAATGTGCTGAATCGACATGATCTTATTGAAGAATACCAAGATGTTTTTAAAGGTATGGTGAATTTGATCAAGAATATCACATCCAAGTGCGTGATAATGTGTAGCCACAGATCCAACCACAGCGCAAAGTTCCATACTCAAGATTTGATAAATTGCAGAAGACTCTTGATGATCTTGAACGTCGAAATATTATAGCCAGTGTAGATCAGCCAACAGACTGGGTGAGCAATTTAGTCATAGTGGAGAAGAGAAATGGTTCTCTCCGATTGTGTTTAGACCCAAAGCCACTTAATGAAGCCATTAAGCGTGAGCACTACAGAACTCCAACACCAGCAGATGTACAAAGCCGACTGAATGGTAAACAAGTAGTCACTGTTTTAGATGAAAAAGATTGCTTTTGGCAAGTTAAATTAACATATAAATCATCCTATTTAACAACATTCAATACCCCATGGGGAAGAAAAAGATTCTTAAGAATGCCCATTGGCATATCATCAGCTAGTGAAGTAATGCAGAAACGTAATGAGCAGACTTTTGGTGATATTAATGGTGTTTTCGTCATAGCTGATGACATGATTAAAGCAGGTGAAAATGAGAAAGAACATGATGCTATTCTACGTAAAGTGATGGAGAGAGCTCGTGAGAAGAACATTAAATTCAACAAAGACAAAATTCAGTATAAAGTTAGTGAAGTCAAGTATATGGGTAATCTAATAACATCCCAAGGTTTAAAACCTGACAAAACCAAAGTTCAAGCCATTGTTGAAATGCCCAAGGCAGAAGACAAGAAAGCTTTACAAAGAACTTGGGATGATCAAGTATTTATCTCAATATATACCAAATGAATCTGAAATAACAGCTCCACTACGTTCTTTATTAAGACAAGATGTTGAATGGTCATGGCAACCAGAACATGACAATGCTTTTCAACAGTTAAAAGACATTTTGACAGCTGAACCTGTTTTACAATTCTATGATGTAAACAAACCTGTTAAAATTCAAGCAGATGCTTCAAAAGAAGGTCTAGGAGCATTTCTTCTACAGAATGGTAGACCTATCGCATATGCATCGAGATCTCTTACTACTAGTGAGAAGAATTATGCCCAAATTGAGAAGGAGATGCTCGCTCTTCAATTTGCAACAACCAAATTTCACCAGTATATTTATGGTAAAGATGTTGAGGCGGAAACGGATCACAAACCTCTAACATCAATCATAAAGAAGCCTATTGCAGACACATCACCACGACTTCAACGTATGTTAATCAAATTACAACGGTATAGAATCAACTTGAATTACGTACCTGGGAAATATTTATATGTTGCTGACACATTGTCTAGAGCATACCTTACAAACATATCTGATGAAACTACAGACGACATGGAAGTAAAAGTAATGGTTTACAGTTTAATAGAAGATTTTCCTGTAAGCGCTATTCAAATACAAGATATCAAAACTGAGACGCAGAATGACCCAGTACTTCAGTCTTTACGTCAACTGATTAAATATGGGTTGCCAGACTGTAAATCCAGCACTCCACTCAAGACCAGAGCATATTGGCATTGTCGTGATGAAATCTATGAAGCTGAAGGATTAGTATTCCGTGATAAGTATCATCATTCCTTCATCTTTGATTCCTAATATGTTAAAACTAATACATGAAAGTCATCTAGGAGCAGAAAAGTCCAAGAATCGTGCAAGATCAATTATGTATTTTCCTGGAATGTCATCTGAAATAGAAGATATTATTGGTAAATGTCCTACGTGTTTAGAATTCAGAAACAGCAAACCCAAAGAGCCGCTGATTCCACATACAATACCAGAACGACCTTGGCAGAAATTAGTGACATTATGACATTCAAATAATGATTATCTTGTTGTTGTGGACTTTTACTCAAAATATCCTGAATTAGTTTTCCTAAGAAAAGACAAAACAGCTGGTAATGTAATCAAACACATGAAAGCTATGTTCGCACGTTTTGGGATACCTGAAGAAATCGTGACCGATAACATGCCTTATGATAGTTTCGAATTCAAGACTTTTGTTAAAGAATGGGGTATTAAGTGTACTACATCAAGTCCAAGATTCCCTCAATCCAATGGCATGGGTGAACGTTATGTGCAGACATTAAAACGCATGTTGAAGAAAGCAGATCGTGAAGGAAAAGACACCCACATAGCACTCTTAGAATACAGAAATTCTCCAGTAGTAGGAATGTCTTACTCGCCAACTCAACTACTAATGAGTCGAACTTTACGAACTAGCTTCCAACCACCTTTCAACTGTTGAACCTAAAGTGGTTAATCCTTTCAACGAATTACATGACAGACAACAACGACAGAAACACTATTTTGACAGGAAGCAGAGAGGCAGAAAGTTTAAAAGCAGGCGATGTCGTTTGCATACGTAATAATAAAACATGGGAACCAGGAGTGATATCCAGAAAATCAGTTTATCCTCGTTCCTACTACGTACAGTATGATGGCCAAGAGCTTCGCCGCAATCAAAGACATCTTTTGAAAACAAAAGAACCGTATCCTATATTCATTCATGATTATCCCGAACCTAATACACAATTACCTCAAAATTGTATTGATGAACGAGTCTTACCACCACCAATTTTAACACCTGAACCTAAACCACAGATGTCTAGTCCGAATACATCATCCGTAGCCAAACGTGTGTTGTCAAGAAAACGTGTTAAGCGTCGACCAACCAAATATGACGATTATGTTTAAAGCTAAACCTGATAGACTATTTTATGTTTTTTTTAAAAAACAAATGTGTTTTCTAAAGTTATAAACTATTAAAAGAACCACAGAGTTCATAAGTGACAATTAACAGAAAGTTAAATTAAATATTAATTTCTTATTGAAAAGGGGAGATGTAGCATACTGAAGTGCTTACCTTTAAATCATTATTCTTTATTATTGTCATGTGACCTATTGTGATCATGTGATAATATCAACCAATCAGATTATTTAATAAAGCTTAAGTGCAGTACCTACAAAATGGTGTCCTCTACAACACAACTGTCACATTACTCATGATTGATATTATATATACTTCCTCGTGTGACAAGTTTCAACCAATGTTTTGCCAATATGTTGTTTTTGTATTTCGTTTTAAGGTTGGATCGTTAAGCCTAGTAGGAGTAAATTTTTATGTTCCGATAAGTATCAAGTTTGTTTTGTAAGTTTGTGTTTTATAAGTTTGTATTTTTATGTTTGACATCCTTGTATTATACAAGAATTGCCGCATCTTATCAGAAACCCGATGCCAATTTGTAATTAGTTTGGTCAACTCTAATCTCTGTATAACCTCTATTAGAATTGAGATAATATTTATTTAGTACTGGGCTATTATAGAATAAAAATACCTACATGATCCTCTAAGAGAAACTGCTCATCAGATTCTAGCTACACTAGCAGTAGGGTATTTATCAGTATTCACGTCTTGTAAAGATTGGCGTACAACAATAAGTAAGAAACTGCAAATAAAAAATGGCAATTAAATAAATTTTTTAAATAACATTAAAATGTTAAAATTTGAACAAGCTAGTTATAACCATATTTTAAAGATAGCTTGATAGTAACATACGCCCACTGCCAGAATTGATAACAGTCTATTGATAATAGTGGCTTCATAATAAATTTTCAAATCTTAAAAATATTTATAGGCTAAGTCAAGGCGAAAAAAGTTCATCAAATTATCAAATTCAAACATGAACAAGGTCCGATCGACGTAGGCTACACACAAAGGCAAAGTTCGTCTAATTAGTATCAATTTCGAACTCGACTGAGATCTCATCAATTATAGGGCCTACATGCAAACCAAGTTTCTTCAAGAAGACTATCGTGCCCACAACCAAATTTGACATGTTTTGACTTATAGACAAGGGCAATGACTCTGAAACCGTTCATACAATTATTACACATTTCGAACTTTACCGAGATCTCATCGTAATATACATGCATACCAACATTTCACTAAGATAAGTTAAAAACTGTAGCCTTTATCGTGCATACAAGAAATGTGGACCGACGGACGGAGTGACAGACAGACCGACGGCAATATAGGTCGACATTTTGCCGTATAGCACTACATTCGATCAGAATAAAAAATGGAAAATAGAAAATTACTTTAACTTTGCAATAGAAAGAAATATTGCAGTATATAAGATAATGATAATAAGAATAACATACATATTAAGAGCTGTAAGTCTGTCCAATACATGGATAAAGAGGTTCTGTATAGATATGGATCTCCTCTAGAAAAATGACTTCAGTCAACATACGTAGTAAACTTAGTATCTAAGTAACCCATGATTCTGTTCACTCCCAAGCTTTGATAACAATGGTTTGAGTTTGAGGCTCAACGTTTCTCTCAAGACACTGAGTAGAATTGAATCCTGATTAAAACTTTTAACAAACGGTTGTTTACTCTGGTGTGGTTTGTTAAAGATAGCTTGCCAGGCAAGGTAACATACGCTCACCACCAGCTGTCAGAAATGATAACAAAATATTTAGTGGTTTAGTAATGAATTTTCAAATAATATTAAAATCATCTATAAGTCAAGGCAAAAACCTGATACAGTTCATGAAATTATCATCAAATTCAAACGTGAATAATGTCTCATAAGGGCAACAACTCTGAAACTGTTCATCTGATTATTACCAATTTCTAACTTGACCAAAATCTCATTAATATACATACATATCTAGTTTCATCAAGATTGGATAGAAACTGCAGAGCCGAATTTGACAAGTCTTTACTAAGTCAAGAGAAATAAATATGAAACCCTTTATCCGATTATTACCAATTATGAACTCGACTGAGATCTCATCAACATATACATGCATACCAACTTTCATCAAGATCAGATAAAAACCGTAGTCTCTATCATGCCTACAAGCCAATTTGACGAATTTTTACTAAGTCAAGGGCAATAACTCTGAAACCGTTCATCCGATTATTACTAATTTCGAACTTGACATCAATACATACATGCATACCAAGTTTCATGAAGATAAAAACTGTACCCTCTATCGCTCCTACAAGGCAAATTTGACTCGTTTTTTCTAAGTCAAGGGCAATAACTCTGAAACCATTCATCCGATAATTACGAATTTCGAACTTGACTGAGATCTCAGCAATATATACATGCATAACAAGTTTCATCAAGATCAGATAAAAACTGTAGTCTCTATTGTCCCTACAAGCCAAATTTGACGCGGTTTTACTAAGTCAAGGGCAATAACTCTGAAACCAATCATCCAATTATTACCAATTTCGAACTTGACCGAGATCTCATCAATATATACACGCCTACTAAGTTTCATTAAGATTGGATAAAAACTGTAGCCTCTATCGCGCCTACAAGAAATGTGAACGGACCGACGGACAGGGTCGACGGCAATATACGTCTCTCTTTGCTGTCCTCAATTTGTTGGTAAATCGAGTCATTAACCTCTCTACATTCAAATTGAACCCTTCGACAAAAACGTTCCGCAGACCGCAACTGGGCGCCGTACCACAAACCGTGCTCTGTATATTCAGGTATTACAATGGTTTTGCGTTAATAATAACACTTGATATAAATGCACTTTCCTCCGCGAAATGATATGATTTACATGCATTATGGTCAGATGAGTCCGATTTTCTATTGTTTGATGAACAGTTTAGAATAAAATTACAGTTTTATAAAATTGCTTCTGACTGCTCCTCTTAAATCTTAGAATGACTTTTCGGTCTTAAAGGTATAAACTTGATAATCGTTTTTAAGATTAACAGGATTGCCATGGCTGACATTGAGATTTCTTCCTATAGAACATCATGATTTCAATCGTTTCACTAATCGTGATTGTGTGTGTGGTAATCTTGCATTAGAAGGCCATATTTCTGTTGCATATAGAGACAAATTTACTTGAATTGAGAGAATGTAAAAAAGAAATGGTATGAAATAAAAATTTTTAATTTATTGTAAAATATTATATCATTCATACCCCAAAACAATTATATATTTATCCTACATTTGTTCATCAAAATATAAGAAATCACAAAATATACACACAAAATTAACAAAACAAAACTCAATAACTAAGGATAATATGAAAGTTAGTAATTATCCATTATTTATTATTTAAATATGTTCAATTTGGGAGTGTAAGTATAAAAGTTTACTTACATACATAAATATCAATTTATTTAATACTTACAGGGTCCTCATTTATAATATTATTACAAAAATAATGATATGCTCGTTAACATAAAAAAATTTAAGACCAAAGTTCTAATGACTCCAATTGCTAAACAAAACCCAAAATCATCTAATGATTTTTCCAATTTAGGAACCATATCAATCATAAATGAGGAATTGTAACCAAAGTGATAAAGAAATCCTTAAACAACACAAAAATTCACCAGTCTTTAACAAAAATATCAAACTATAGTTATATACTATTAATAATGAATTCTATTCAATGAAAGAAAATTAAATAAATCCAGTTTATCAGTCAAACTGAAAATTTCTTGATTAAATGAACCTACAAAAAATAAACGTACCACCATTTTGATTGATTTATTTCCTACAATTCCCAAAACCTAGAATATATTTCTCATTATAATTACATACTATTTAACTTCATTATAAAAAACAGAAAAAAAAAAAATATGTGAAAAGATAACAGCTACTAACATAAATTGAAGATCATACTTTTATACAACACAAACCTTGAGAAAATGATGAATTTACTTTACCAAATGATGATCATAATGATGAATTTATTTGAACAAATGATGATGAACTTACTTGAACAAAGGATGGTTTATCATCACCTCAGATTATAGAATTGTGACGAAACAATTTTGAGCTATAATATTAACTTTGGAAAAGGATTTATTTTGAAGATTAATGTGATATGTGCTACAGTGAGTCCAAGAAATTATGTCTTAAATATTGATCAAAACTAATAGTGTATCATGGTTGTTCATAAATATTGATGAACTAAAATAATTAATATTGCACTCTTATCCTTCTTCAATCCATAACAATAGAGTTGTGAACATTATATTGTGTGAAATAGGCCACCAGTTAAAAATATAACACTTAACACTTCATAGTCGATATACATTTAAAATAACTTGAAAACAGGATAAGATAACTGTAAATAAAGCTTAAATAAGTTTAAAATTTGATGACATAAAATAAGCCTTTACAGAAAAATGTATACCCTGGCCAGAGTCTCACATAATAAGACTGTGCTTCAATTGAAATCATCCAATCACAGATTGTCTCAGAGTAAACATGAGATAACATATTATTTGTGTTACACATGTTATATATCTTATACCTTAACTTAATTTTATTTTAATTTATTTGTTCATTTTAAGAGGTAGTATTTCTAATTATAATAATTCTGTGTTAAATAATAAATACAATGGAGTTTATCAATAATCCTAACTAATTGTGTAAAATAAAAGCTTCATTCAGCAGATTATCACTATATATAACAAAAGTTCATAAAAATACCTGCTGATGTAATAGATAGGGATACCAAAATGTTTTAAGCCTCTCTGACTTAAAGCTCAAATGCTGATAATTTGTCTATTTCAAATGCTCAACACACAATCGTTGATGCTTCAACACCAAACATCCCAAATAATACAAAATTTTTGCCCCTTTGATAAATGTCTGAACATTAGAGAAATCCATTTATAAGACGTGAATCCATTGCAAGAAAACTGGCATTGATTAGTTAGGTAATAACAAAGACTTTATGATATCAAAAAACATTGTGGAGAATATTGTGTATTCTATCTATTTTAAATTGTGAAGGCTCAAAACATTTTGAAATCTCCAATTAAATGACTGATTATGATAAGAGAATAAATAAAATGATGTTTTAGTTGGATGTTGATTGGAATGTTATTCTAAATGTATTGATCTCCATTGGTTTGATTGAAATTTGAGTCTCCAAATCTAATTTTTCACGTTCATACATTAAAGTTAATGACATCGACTTCACCTCTTTAACCACTATATCTTTGAATATTTTAGCAAACGTCACCTGAAAAAAGTAAAAAAAAATTGTAAGATCTTGTTGGATTTTATTATATTAAATTACAATAGTACAAAAAAGACAGCTTGCTAAGCAAGGTAACATACACCCAGTGACATATTTTTTAAAAGTTAATAATTTTATTTTAATAAACAATATCATAAAGTTTCATCTAAATTCAACTAGAATTGTGACTTCTAGAGTGTTACAAGCAATTGTCGAGGGACAGACGGACAGATCAATAGACATAGGTGATGCCAATATAAGCTCCATATTTCATGTGGGCTTATATTATAACCTTTTAAATATTAATTTAAAGTAACATACCTGACCGCCATTAGTATTACAAGTTAAACTTTTAGCTGGATATCCACAATCAAAACCATATTGTTGTAATATCATAGCGGCTGTATTTTTAGGTACAAATTTTAAATCGGGACTGTCATCTTTATTTTGCATAGTTCTTAAGTTTAGAAGGTAGATTTCACAGGGTAAATCTTGTATTAATGGTGTAAAAGTTGGTGTTAAAATAACTGGTATCGAGTCTGATGTTTTAGGAAAGATAAATAATGGAGATATAAGGTGAGCATAGCTATGGTGAGCTAATAAGGACGGAAACCCTAAATCTGTAGGTTTTTGCTGAAAAAGAAAAAGAAAAATATTAAAAAATCTAATAATATGAAATGAATTCTCAAAAACTTCTTTCCATATTGGGATAATAAAGGCAAGTAAGAACTTTTGTCAGGACAGAGGAATTAGGCTACTCTTTCTCTATTTTCAAATGCCGAATGATCTTAAACATCTAGACTATTCTCTGAGCAAAGTAAAAAGTTTTTTGAATTTTTCCCATTATTTTTATGAGAATTGGAATAGCAGCCTTAAAATTATTGCCTTAGAATGTCTTTGCATCGATAAAAATACAAGCATGAGCACATTTTATGACTTCAACATTATTATATTATTATGTTATTATAGAGGACAATTTTTAGCCAAAATTTGTGACTACTTTGGGTTGAAATTTCTAAGAGGGAAATGTGTTTCTTTTTAATGTAAACTTACAAAAGATTATATTTTTATCAAAACTAAGACTAACAGTACTATTTTGAGAGTGCTATTCCAATTCTCTTAACAAATATAGGATATATTAAAAAAACTTTTTTATTTGCTCAGAAAAAAGGCAATTCCTATATAAGCCCCTCTGACCTGCAACACAAACTGTATTTTAGCATGAATTTATATGCAGCAAAACTAATAATTCAAATTCAAAATGTGAAGTATGACATAACAATACTCACTGGTTTATTTGCTTTGCGTTTTTCTATTAAAAATCTAAATTTATTTGGTGTGGCTTTATTATCTTTTACTCCTTCTCCTAATCCTCTATTATCATCATGGGCTAATCTTCTATCCATTATAACTTCCATTACACCTTAAATAATATCAAATCATAATATCATTTTCAATTTAAATTTCTTAAATTTTTACATTTCCATAGTTACCATCAAAACAAATAAACATAATTGAAAAAACAAAACATTAGATTCTTTGCATTATAATTGGCTTCTGATAAGTCAAGTTTGATGAAGATTGATCCATTCATCTTTTTGTTAAGGTTTGAAATATTCAATTTTCATGACATGTTTGAAGGGCTGTCAAAACATTAAGAAAAATCTGAAGGATATAAAATCGACTTGAAAGTGAAGGGAAGGACCCAAAATCTTCACTTTATACAGTGCTCCGGAGCTAACAGTTTACACATCTCAATAAGCTATATTTCATTTACTAACCTGTTTTAAGGCTAGAACAACCCAATGATTGAGCTGATATTATTGTGAATCTTGTCTTGTCATCTTCTATATACATCATAGCAGGCATAGGATAAACATTAGCTTGTAGTGGTAATTTATCATACGTCTTTCTTCTTGACATCTAGAAATAAAAAACACTTATTGTGATTCAACTGGTATTGATACAAGGTTTTCAAGCAGTCTGTATATAAATGTTTTCTGTATGAGTATCAGTGGTTCAAGCTTAGTTATACCCATGGTTCTACAACTTAATCTATTAAGTCCTAAAAAGTGAAGCCAGTCTTTAACTTGAGTAACTATTCAGAACATATAAAATTTGAAATATCAACATAAAATGATAATGTTTTTTGTCATCATAATTGTTAGTCCTTTTTAGACAAAACATTATTAACAAAATGAATACTGTACAAGTCCAAATGCAGTGTCATCAAGCATTGTGAAAAGCTCTTGTAATGGTGCTTGTCAGTAAATTACTGAAGTAGAAATGGATATTACCTGATAGCCATTGAGATCAGTATAAAATATTCTATCTTCATTATTAATATCAGTAGTAACTCTAACAGCTATCTCTTTATCAATCTCATTTCTTATATCAACTATATTATATATATCAACAGATCTACCATCACTACCTACAGTCAAATATACACATACCCTTAATAACAAATTAAATCAGTTCAGTTCAGTTGGTTAGTTGAGATATAATCACCTGGTGGATTCAGATATATTCACCTGGTGAGTTGAGATTTTACACACCTGGTGAGTTGAGATGTACTCAGCCGGTGAGTTGAGATATATTCACCTGGTGAGTTGGGATATATTCACCTGATGAGTTAAGATATATACCTGATGAGTTGGGATATATTCACCTGGTGAGTTGGGATTTATTCACCCGGTGAGTTGAGATATATTCAACTGGTGGTTTGAGATATATTCACCTGGTGAGTTGTGATATATCATTACATGGTAAGTTCATATATCACTATCTTGGGAGTTTAGATGTAATTACCTGGTGAAGTCAGACATATTCACCTGGTGAGTTCAGTTCGGATATATTCACCTGGTGAGTTGTGACAGAATAACCTGGTGTGTTGAAATATATACACCCAGTTAGTTGTGACAGAATAACCTGTTGAGTTGTGACACAATTACCTGGTGAGTTGAGATATAATTACCTGGTGAGTTGAGATATAATTACCTAGTGAGTTGAGATATAATTACCTGGCGGGTTGAGATATAATAACCTGGTGAGTTGAGATATAATTACCTGTTGAGATACAATTACCTGGTGAGTTGAGATATAATAACCTAGTGAGTTGAGATATAATAGCCTGGTGAGTTGAGATATAATAACCTGGCGAGTTGAGATATAATTACCTGGTGAGTTGAGATATAATTACCTGGTGAGTTGAGATATAATTACCTGGTGAGTTGAGGTATAATTACCTGGTGAGTTGAGATATAATTACCTGGTGAGTTGAGATATAATTACCTAGTGAGTTCAGATAGAATTACCTGGTGAGTTGAGGTATAATTACCTGGTGAGTTGAGATATAATTACCTGGTGAGTTGAGATATAATTACCTAGTGAGTTCAGATAGAATTACCTAGTGAGTTGAGATATAATTACTTGGTGAGTTGAGATATAATTACCTGGTGAGTTGAGATATAATTACCTAGTGAGTTCAGATAGAATTACCTGGTGAATTGAGAAGGCGTACAACATGAACTTGAACTGATGATGGTACAAATACATTGACTTCTGATGCTATTGGTCCTCTTATTATTCTTGTTAATGGTGGCAATCCTTGTATGGGCTGAAATTTTAAGACAGCACTTGAAAAACATCGATTCTGTGACAACCATGCATGCGTTTGGTCAAGGTCCTGCTCCACTACTACAATAGCCTCATAATGTTAAGGTTCATCACTTTTATGGAGGGATCTACCCAATTGTGTAAAAAAAAAAGGTAAGAAGTACTTGAGGGTCCATAAGGTCAGAAACAGGACTGAATGAGAACTTAACTATATAACATTACCTTTGCTTCACCTTCTGGTAAAAATAAATAGGCACCAGATTTATCACCAGTACGTCTTGTGGTATATTCTACAAATTCTACTTTAGTTTGATGTTCAACTTCTTCATCTTTATCATATATAGACTAGAAATATAAATAAGACTACTTCTTTATCCTAATCTTATATAGACTAGATATATAAACAATTCCTTATTTATCATATATAGACTAGAAATATTAACAATTACTACTGTATCACAATCTTATACAGATTATAATTATCAACAAATCCTTCTTTATCATATATAGATAGACTAGAAATATCAACAATTACTCCTTTATCATAAATACATAAATATCAATAATTTATAATCACAATCACATTCAGATCTTCTTTATCATAATGGTCTAGAAATATCAACAATTCCTTCTTTATCATATATAGATTAGAAATATAAACAATTCCTTCTGATTTTTATGTAGACTTGAAATGTCAACAAATCCTTCTTTATCATATATAGACTAGAAATGTTAATAAATCCTTCTTTATCATAGATAGACTAGAATTATCAACAATTCCTTCTTTATCATATATAGACTAGAAATGTTAATAAATCCTTCTTTATCATAGATAGACTAGAATTATCAACAATTCCTTCTTTATCATACATAGACTAGAAATGTTAATAAATCCTTCTTTATCATAAATAGACTAGAATTATCAACAATTCCTTCTTTATCATATATAGACTAGAAATGTTAATAAATCCTTCTTTATCATAAATAGACTAGAATTATCAACAATTCCTTCTTTATCATATATAGACTAGAAATGTTAATAAATCCTTCTTTATCATAGATAGACTAGAATTATCAACAATTCATTCTTTATCACACAACTGCTTCATAAGAATCATCATAGTCATATAGACTACAAATATTCTCATGAACACCACATTCATTATGAGGGATTGACTTGAATTTGGCGTATGAATTATCATCTGGATAGGTGCACGCTGGTTTTCTCATTAATTATCAGATCAAGCACAATGATTAGTACTTACAGTTATCAATGATGTAGATTTTGAAAAGGTGACTTTTAAATAATCATTTTCAATACTGAATTCTTCTAGAAAATATTTTCTATCCATCTGGAATGGTTTTCTAGAAATAAAACAAGTTGTGTTAAAAAAATATATAATTGTATTTTGGCACTTACAAATTCAAGTAGTTATAAAAACAAAAAACTAACAAAATTAGTTAAATACTAAAATACTATTTTGGGGTCCAGCTGTAGAGATCAGGGGTGACTAGGGTGGTTAAGGAAGCTACGCAGTTAGTTATTGCTGGTAAAAAGTTTGGGGTTTAATATTAAAAAGGCAAAATAAAATGAGAACATATGCGCATATGAAAGGTTTAACAACTAGATATATATATATATAGATTAAGATTTAATCATTTAATTGCTTACATATGTTTTTCATCAGTCTGTTGAGAGGTTGAATGGTAAACTGTTACAACTGATAAGTAATTGAGAGGGTTCGCATTCTCTTCAACCTGTTTAATATGATAACAACTCACACCTAAAGCTGGTACTTCTGCTATAAATGATACCTAAAAATAACAAAATACAATCTTCTCTACATCAGTGCAGGGGAGAAATATAAACTGAAGGCCGAAAGAAACTTTGAAAACATCCTTAGTAAATAAACAATTGGATTAAAATGTTTTAAACTGAGTGATAAGTCAACAAAACCAGCACAACAAAGGGCAAACATATAGCTTCCTGTTATGGCATCAGAGTCGCATAAAGTGAGGTGGGGTACAAAAACCAAATAATATCATTTCTTGATTTCAAAGTCGTCTGGTCACGGTCTGTTTGTCTGGTCAACTCGCTGATGACATCACTGTCAGAAAGAGGTTTCAGAGATGTAAGGTATGCAAATACAGTTCATCAAGTGGTGTGGTCATCCTGGTTCAACCCATTCTAGGCCTGTCTGACATCTGCTCTATCTGCCTGTTTGTTACAGTAAAATGGGAATAAGAAGGTTCTTGTGATTTTGGCATGGTTGGCTCCCATTCGTACCCTTTCCTGAGCTCTCGTTATTTGTAAGTCAGTCGTTGCATTATTCTTGTGTTTTTTTATCATTGTGTAAGCCAAACATATCATTCATCCTGTTATTATACCCTTGGTGTCACCTTCACTTTTTTGCTGTGCTCAGGTATAATTCCTACAAACGTTATTGTTGTGTTTGGGCAATGTTATTTGAATGGATAGGTTTTGAACGTACTATGTATTTTTTGTTAAATATGAACCAGAAATGAAATTCTAATTCTTAAATAGATTGGTTAAAAATTGAGCTCAATAAGCTGGTTAACAAAATATTTTGTAGTCTTCATAGAAAATAAGTAATCTAATCAAAATACCTTATATTTTCTATCATCAATGACTTCTTTATCAGTAAAGAAGGGATCTATTTGTGAGACTATGACATTACCACTGGGATCTGTTACTTCTATATATGGTGAGGTTACATAGACTTTTACTATATTAATTCTTTTATGACTTAATGAGTTGTACATCAGTACAGGACTGAAACAAATTGGAAAGCAAATTTCCTGATTGCAGAATATAACTGTAAATTAAATTCTAGATAATCAAACAGCTGTTTTAAATGATCCAATCATTGAATAACATTTGCTTTGAATCAAAAGAATATAACTCATGGATTTACAGACACTAAAAATCAACGAGCTGTCATTAAAAGACACTAAATAATACACAGATCATATATCTAGTAGACTTAAATACCTTGGTTCTTTAGAAACTTCTAGGACTGTTTTTATAGGCAGAGAGTCATGATCATCTCTTATCTCATCCTACAATATTTTAAATTGTATAGATATGATATAGCATTGTATGTTATCAACTTGGATTGCCATATATCAATTTTTCAGTAGGCATTCCAGACAAACGTATAAACATAACTTTAAGTTACATTTGTGAATGTAAACATCTATTACTATGCAGTTGACAATTTAGTGACAAGATAAAGTGATAATTTTTTTCTATTACTGAAATGACAATACATAGCATATTGTATCAATATCATTTCAATACTAAGTGTACCATTGTGTGATATGTAGTGTATGGTATCCCTTTTATTTTGCCACACATTGTATCATGACATGATGATTCAGAACTAGATGACACAATACACTCACCAGGTTAAAGAAGTGAGATTTTGGTTTAAAATCATATTTAACTTTATCTTTTATAGATAAAAAGGTAGAACATTCAGCTATCAATCTTTTTAAATTGTTGATGCTTTGAACTAATCTGTAAAATATAAAATATATAAATTTACAAATAGATATCTGAGAAACAAGTCCAAATGAAGAGTGATATCATGCATTTTGAACATCTGGTATGTAACACCTGTAATAATTGTAATTGAAGGCTTATGGTAAGATATTTAGCATTTTTAATGATCCTTTGAAATACTTCACAAACATTGGTAGCGTATCAAAACAGGATATATGCGCCCCCCTCCCCCCCCCCATTACCAAAAATCAACTGATTGTGGGTTGAGTTATATTCCACTGGACTACCATTGATTAATGATTTACTAGTCATGACACACTCCACCTATGTATCATCTGTAATTACTATGGTGCTAAATCTGATTTAATCATAATAAAACTAGTTTACCTTTTACCATAATCCACAACAACAAATTCTTTAGAAGTACCAGTAATACCATCATGATGTTGAAATAAACCCAGATTTCTACGTGCCTCTACTAGATATTGCATGAAGGTTGCTGATGGGAAATTTGCAGCCATATTGTTTTTAGCATAAGCCAGTGCTGTTGTAAATATTACTTCAGCTGATCTGCAAACAAAGACATATTTTTGAACAATTCAGTCTTATCTTGCACTGTTTATATTTAATATTTACATATAGTATTATTCTTCTTTTCAGACAGATTGTATTCAAGACCATGTTCTTAGTGACTTTGGAACATCTTACATCATTGTTCAGTTTGTTAACTTATTCCTTTACATTTTAAACTTTGCTTAGTTTTGTGGTGGTTGAGAGTTTAATTTCAGTCAGAGAAATGATAAATCATCTTTCCTCATTATTCAAATTTACCCAGGTAGTACTGAATTTCCAAGGATTTGGGTAAGAAATGGCTGTTAAACAGGACGGCCAAGAACTTAATCTGTTGTCCTCTTAGTGCAGTGCTTACTATAAAATCACAAAAAATATAAAATATATACCGGAGATGATACTCTGTAACTCTATCTAGATGTTTATAGAATGGTCTAGAAGTATAATAACCACTCCAATAATTATCTTCTCTATCAGCATAGGAGAAAAAATCACCACTTAATGTTGGTACTTGTGGTCTACCACCTTCATCTACATTATTTCTTTCATAAACAGCAGCAAAATAATCTGATAATGTTCCAAACTGAAGCTAAAAAAACAGAAGAAAGACTAATGATAGTAATATCACATTGACATACAGTACCAACATTGGTCAAGAAACAAAACTTTCACTTGTTTGAAAATACAATAACTAAAACATAGGCATACAGTTTTTTAATCGGTTACAATACCAACTGGTATATTATTTTCAGCCAAAAATCAGTGATGATAAACATTGACAAAGATAAGTTACAAAGTCAGCCACATATTGATACATATATGATACAATGATAATTATAGAAATTAAAATCCTAGTCTATTTTTCAAGTAGAACCACATGTTAGATTTTAATTCTGAAAAGTGATACAGATAGATAAAATAGAGATCTATCAGCTGGCAAAGTAGATATTCAGACAACCAAACCCAAACATATGAGAATGAAATAGTATCAAGACTAGATATGTGGTAGCATCACTACACTTACCTCTGTTTTTAATTCAGGATGAACATTAAGATAATCTATCATTTTCTGATAATTATTGAACTGTAAATCCCATTCAGTTGGTGTATCATAGCGGAAATCATCACCTAATGGTACTAATAATACATCTGATCTGTATAGTTGAGCTTTCTTCTTATACTGGTCTATTAATAAGTTCACCCTATTCAAAAATTAAACTCATTTAACTTTCAAATAATTACATTTTTTACTATCACTCCCTTCAATCAACCAGTAATGCAAACTTTTTCGATAAACTGTAGTTTGTCAAGTGACACTATGACGTAGTCAAAGCACAACAATGACACAATCTAAGATTTGTGGCAAATTCAAGAAACCAATCATATTAAACAGTAAAATTGTATTAATAAAGGTATCTGAATTAAACGATGGTCTCACTAGCATTATTGGGGTGGAAACGCAATTGATCACACCAAAAACACACAAAAATGACTACGTCATTCATTCAGTTATTTACCCAGTTCAAACTGAATAAATGACTAAGTCATTCATGTATGTTTGTCATATTATGATCAGTTGCATTTACATACCAATAATACTCTTAATTCTTCAATATTTGTGTAAATTTGGGTGTAAACAAATATGGCAAACTAAACTAAAAGGAGCTCTATTTGCCTATATTTTCAAACTATAATATCAGAACAATAAGCAAAACAATATCCTTCAATTTTCATTATGTTGTCTTTACCATTTACCTTCCTATAAAGACAAAAAATCCTTCAAAATTGTTTGGTGTCTGACAAATCAAAGATATCTTAATACCACCTCGGCATGGCAAAAAGTGTTGTGTGTATTTTGCAGTATAAGTGCTCACAAATGTGACTAAATGTTCAAAATAGTGTACATATTTTCAAATTGACCTGTCAAGAGATTAGTGAATTTATTCTTACCTCTCGCCTACATTGTTATCGGTTATTGCTACAGGATTCAACTTCCAGGGACATCTATATTTATTATTTGGTAACCGCATAAAGTCAAACTGACAACATATCTTAGGATCAGGACCACAACTATGAGGAGCATCGTAAGAATAAAATGGCATCAAGTGACAAAGAATATCTGTGGAACCTTCTTGATCTAAAAATATAAACTCATAAAGCTGGGGGATAGTTTAGAGCATAGAAATATCAACTTCTTTGCTTAAATAGAATAAATTATTGTTATGAATTCAGTTCTCAGTAGGTGTTTAAGTGTCTGCTCATCCTTCTGCAATATTCAAAGTGTAAACTAGAAAAATATGGTTTCCAAGATATCTGGTCACAGACAAAATCCACGTGAAACCAAGTAGTTTACGCATTTAGAAATATTTCTTTTTTAAAGGCATTTTGTGTCTGTTCTGCTGTAGATAGGTACTTCTTCTTAATCTTTGTGTAACAAAGCATACATATATTATCTATTCAATATATTTGAATGGATTGGTATTTTGATGGTTGAGGTGTGCTAATAAAATGGATTACTAAATAGATCCTTCTTCCTATTACTGAATGATAACATTGTAAGATTCTGTCTCAAATCTTAAAATGGACACTTACCCCATTGTTGTCTCCACATAAACTCCAGAGACTTCTCTTTAGCTAGGTATTTTTTAATAGAATAATGAACACGTTGTATTAACATATTACTAAAATCAGCTTCCCGCAGTATATACGCCATTGTTGAAGAATAACCAAAAGGATCAATGGACCACCCAGCTTTAGGTTTAACACCTGAAATTAATAATGGTATAATGTAATAACAACCAGAAACTTCTTTATATTACAATTTCTGCAGACACCTTTTTTCCAAAGTTCAATTAATCCAGAGCTCTGTTTGCCAGAAAAAAATAGCGACACTTTATAAATCAGGTAAATAATCAACTGGCCTGATGATGATTTGAATATTTCAAACATGTTTTAACATTATAACTTCAATAAGATCAAATTAGAATTGGATTCAAATATACCTCCAAATCTACTTGCTATTTAACTTACCTAGAGTTCCATTGAGCCATTGATGACCTTCAATAAGTTGATCTATCATAGCAAAATAATGTGAATTAGCTTCATCAGTCATAACCCATCCTCCAGTAATTATCTCTAACTGACCTTTCTGTATCAATCTATTAATAAATGGGTTAAAAGTCTTTAAATGACTTTCAAGAAGCAAAAATCAACAGAAAAATTGAATTATAAAACCTTGAAAATACCAAGTTTGGTGGAAACTAAGTCTGATTATAGACTGTTACTTACTTAGTATATATCTAATGTTTTATGGAGACAAGTCAGTAGGGTTGGTGTGTTTTCCAAGACATAAGTAATATATGACAGAATATTGGTATTGTAACCTTGAGTCAAGTGAATCCATTGGGGATTCTACATACATCGACAACAGTCTCAACTATTTTTAAAATTGGATTTCTTAAATTAAATATGTGTACATCCAATAAGTGTGCCATGAGTTTCATTTACAGTTAGCTTACTTTTTAACTCTGGCCTTTTTACTGTCATCTATTTCATCCCACCATAGAGAGAAAAAAGACATTTCAGCATACATAAACTTCCTTCTGCCATCTTCCTCTAATTTTGGTACCATATTCTCAAAAATAAGTTTTGTTTGTTGTCTGTAGTAATCTAGAAATGTCTTCAACCATCCTGAAAGTCAAATGTTACCATTTAAAACAATATCTTAGGACTGTGACAAAGTTGCAAATCATCAAAATATTCAGCAAATTATGCATAAAGTGTTTTACTGTTCATATCTCATGTCTAAAAAAATGAAAAGAAAATCTCTAAATTTAAACAAGAATTTGCACTGTCTAAATCAATCTGTATCAAATCTCAATGGCTGTGAAAATATAATAATTTGTCCCTTTGAAGGGTTTGAAGTCCCACTTAGCAGATAACATTACAACCTATGCATTGGTGACCTTTTCAAATTGCAGGAATTCCACACAATGTACTGTACTTAGAAGAGTGCCAAAAAAAGGGAGTAAATTTTCCTGAGGCACATGAAGTTAGTAGCAAATATGTTAAGTTAAAGCTTTACCTGGATCTGTATGTGAATGGGGTATTAAAAATACTTTCAGTTTCCTGTTATTCCATTGTGAATCATCATAAGTTATAGGCCAGCCCTGTTTCCATACACCACCATCTATATTATCAAAACTATTCTTCTCAAATATATCAATCATCTACAGAAAATAGATATTCTATAATAAATAATTTATGCAGTATATCTAAATTATTGACAAAATAAATCATTGAATAATCCATAAGGTACTTAGGTAGCATTTTACCATAATTGAATTCTGAATTCAATTTCATCAAGTTAGCTGATTTCTTTTGTAACTTGGGTTCTTTATCAATACACAGTATCAACATTAACCTAGTAAAGATTTTGTCATTTATTCAACAAAGGTAGATTGTATATTATGCTGAAGGACAAGATATTAAGTAAAAAGTAAAGTGTTAGTCTGTACTTCTCAACAAAGAGTACTATGGCAAGTTTTGCTTGACAGATACTGCAACTGTCACATCTCTTTCACAGACTCTGTACCAGTCCGAATCTGTGTTATAAAATTTCCATGAAAACCTTTAAAATAGAACCAATAACGGCTGATACTATACACTGCATATTTGCATGCATAGTCCATAATTCTTTAGCATACAAAGGGCTCACTAAACTGGAGGTGTGCACTAAAGATTTCTTACTTTTACTTTTTTACACTGTCAATATTGATGGTCTGCCATTTTGAAATAAATCCTTGTAAAAGGTACTCACTCTCAAATCTGTTTTAGCAGGAGGAAGATCAGCTAACATACACATATCATTTGGTATCTCTAACTCTTTAAAAGCCTTTTGCTTGATTAAATCTTTATACGTCTTGATGGGTTGCTGCATCTGAACCACACCAATCTTCCCTCGACCTAAACGTTCAAGTAAATCAGTATCTTCATGTTTATCTAATACTTCTTTCAATTCTTGTAAACCAGCCTCTTGTCTATTTTGACCAATTTTTCTGACTGTGTCTTTAATCTGTTTAATTGTTTCATGATTCTTTAGAATATCAACTTCAATTCTTTGTATTTTCCCTTCAATGCTATCCAATTCATTCTGAAATGACAACATTCAAATCTAAATAATGCATAAATTCAGAAAGTCTAGCAAGATATCTACTTTGTGCAAAATATTGTTGATTTAAATAAACACAAAATTTAATAAAATTCTGACATAGACTGTCATCTCATAATTCAACAAATCTTGGGCAAAAGGACAACAATTAGAATTCTGTTTATTGAAAAATCATCAAATTCAAATTTGACTACGATCTCAATTGTTACAGATGATCACACCATATTTCACTTAAATCGGATGAAAACTGTAGTCTCTATTGTGTTCACAGACAAATTTGACGCGTTTCTTCTTAAGTCAAGGGCAATAACTCCAATACCATCGTCAAAAGATCATCACATCACAATTTTCTGAATTGCATACAACATAATAATCCACTAATACTTTCATATCTGTACGAAATTATAAAGAATTGGTGCACATATATAAATACACAAAGTACCAAGTTGGTTTGAAACAGCTCTGTTTGATTTGACAATAACACTAACATTTCGTTTTTTTACTTACTAACTGAATTGAATAATCCTTTTCACTGCTTTTCAACTTATCGATAGCAAAAATGGAATTCAAGACAACAATACAAAATAATACGAATGCATAGAGAACAAACTCTTTGGAAGAAAACATCTTTCAGGTATCTTAGCTATTTTTTATATAGATCTTTATTGGTTTTATGTAAATTATGATAAATTTCATTACATTATCCAAGTTACATTGCCAGCAACAGATGGGCTTGTTTTACATTACATACTTCTGTATTAAATTTGAACAGGATCACATGACATACATAATGAACAAACAAAACTGCCATTGTGATAAGCTTAAAATATCCATTTAATACCTATTTCACAATGGAATGCAACCATTTCTTACGGTGACAAGAAAATGTCAATGGCAAATGTGAAAAAACAAAACAAAAGTCCCTTAATAGTTTGTGTGCTATTTTATCTAAGTCTTATTTATCACCTATAGGCCTTTACCTCTATAACCCCTTTCCCAAAGCTTCATAAGTTCTTTTCAATTGTAGGTGAACCTTTTCATATGCTACAAATTTACACCATATATTCATATTGTCCATCCATCAGTTCATATTATTTCAATTTTAGACAGATTTTTTTCATCTTGTGTTTGTGGATTTGCACAAATGTATTACTTTAAGAGATGAGTTTTTGGTCTATGTCAAAATCATGGAATTATTTCACATCATTAACAATGTCAAACAGATATATAAACATAGACTTAATAACCAGATCAATCAAATTAAGAGGTAGGAAAGAGCCCAAAAATCTTGAATATTTACCATCCGCATGCTGTGGTGTGCCTATATGGCTGTGGTCCACTATCTTTACATTTTTAATTTTCATACAAAATTTTTGTATCAAATGCGCATGAGGCATTTTCCTTTGACATTTGCCTAGACTAAGATACAGCCCCATGGTGGAACCATCAATTGCAAAGATACAGTAATGAAATGTATGCCTAATGATTTTTAGTTATACATTTTTTGTTTCTAATAAATTGAAACTTCAATAACATAACATTAATTGGCACTATTTTGATTAGTTATGAGATTATGTTACTATAAATAGATAGTATCACAGCAGGTGTTCTTTGTGGAAAATGCTAAAGTGCATAGCAGATGATATATCAAATATCAACAAAGACTAAAATTCTTCTCATCTGATTTAGTATCAAAATGGTACAGATTTACCCACTACCCTTTGTTTTGGGGGAGCTGAAATGAGATTGGTGGCATTTAAATCTGACCAATCAGATCGGTAAAACAGAAAGGAAGTCATGTAAACAAAACACAACACCGCTTTGCCGACGCCCATTTGAAGAGATAAGAACACATTCTTTCCAAGTAAATATTTCAAAGTCAGGTTTGATTTTCTCTCAGCTTCAATTCTTTAAAGAAAATCTTGCTCAATTCTGTACCGTACATATGTATAAAATTATGTAATGGCACGCTGAATTTGTTTTGTTTACGTTAGCAAACAAAGGCCATAATGAGTGATTATTTTTGATTGGATGAAATTTGCTACCAATACAGTAGGGCCAATTTTGGTTTGGACACGATGTACTTGTAGACATGATTAACGGCTGTTTTATAATTGAATTATTTTTTTTGAAACGATTAAATTTTGAGTGTATTTTTTTATTTGATTATTTGATATATATATAACAAAATAATAAAAATATAAGCTTAAGTACAGTGGTGTAACCTATATTCATGCATATAAGGATTAAAACCTGAATTTCGTTCCATTCAAAAACCGGAAATTTTTTTGTCTTAGATGTTTCCTCAGATATTCTTTAAAATAATTAGCATTGGTTTGTTTTGATTTTTTTTATGAATCCCTCACCTTGACCCATATTTCATGAGTAACCAACTCGACAACGGCGGCAAAATATTTCACCTATTTTCGGGTACAATGTTTGATCTATAAATAAGTCGAGAAAAACACGTTGTATGGATACCCAGTGATATTATCATCATTTCTAAGTACTCATCTTTAATGTCAATTCATTATAACTAATGACAATTCCCGCAAAGATTAAAAAAAATAGTGACTGACATAAGTAAAACGTAAGAGTGATTTATTACTAAAAGTCATTGAAACAACATAAGAATATGGCCCAGATTGTGTTCGATAGAATTTTTCTGCTGACAGGGAATCCACTAGTTAGTGACATGACGTTATTTGCTGGAATATATTCTAGGAGACGAGCTTGGAATTCCGATAACAGCTTGTATTATAAGGAAATTCAGTCGATAAAAAAATTGTGATTATTAAATTATTAATCATTCCTGGAGACGCTAGAAAAATAGGTAAGCACGAAATTAGGCTACTTGACTATACATTTTTCTTAAGTGTTACCGTTTTGGTCAATCTGTTGACGTTTTGACCATATTTTAGTGTTACCGTTTGCCTTTTGGTTAATCTGCTACCGTTTCAACTAGGCTCTATTAAGATTTGCTGCCGTTTTGGTTTGTTACTGCTTTATCATTAGGCCTAAAAATTTGAAGCTTATATTTCAATTCACATAAAAATAAATGGTTTAACGACAGAAAGCCCTAATCTTCAAAATAAATATTTATTTATAGTTCTGGAGCATGGGATATTGACCAACTTACAGCATCGAGTTCTGAGGGTTTGCCTGCAGTGTTGACCGTTTCCAGCATCAGATAGAGTGAAGAAAACATAACCAAGAAAAACAGGAAACCCCATAACACCATATATCGCTTCATTTCTTCTTGATACTTTCTAACCTACGGTGAAAATATGAAAGCTGTTATCTTAAAATGTAGGACAATTTCTTCTTTCATTTTTCTCCATGTTTGTATGGAGGCTGATTAATAGTATCCTTTGAAGTTGAACGTTAAATTCAATAAAGTTTGTGATGGAAAGATGGAATATTGCTACCATAAATCAGAATAAATTAATCAAAATAACAGATAGGATTCACAAACTTTCATATTAAGACATGAAAAAAGGTTGAAGTACCGTAGTTATAACATACTTCAGAAACGATGGATATCATTTATCAAACAACATTGTCGACTCTGTTTGATTCTGATACACATAACTATTTATGATAAATCAGATCAAATGATTGGTCTATATATTTATACTGCCCAATCGAAATCTGCAAATCGTATTAGTGTATTATATAGACAGCAAACACGAGTGATTGCCTTAATACCGCAAATACTCACAAATTAAACAAACTAACCATAAGATTCTAGGCCCTAATGCTTATTCTAGTAAGGAAGGGAACGCCTTACGTACACAGGTGAATGCCACTCTGCAACTGGGTTTGTTAGCTCGGCGTCCTTTTTCGAGAGTGAAATGATTGACTTACATTGCTGTAAAATAATAATAATTTATAATATATTTGAGCGTAATTAGGTGAATTCGAGTTTCAAGACTTACCATGTTTTCTTAAAGGGGAATAACTTTTGCTAAGTTTTGTAAAAATCATTCGAGTGGGCAAAATTTACAACAGATTTTTCTGGAGCAAAGTTAAATGAAGGAGGATGTATGTTAGATCAGAAATTTTGTGAAGGATTTTAGGTTTACTTCGATGAAATAAATATTGTATACGCTATATGTAAGTATAATTTTATCGAACACTTATTTTGTCGTCGTTTGATATGGTTTTTCAAGAATAGTGTTGAGAGTAACCGGCTGATTAGTTGATGATGCTGTCTGCAACGTCCGTGTTAACTGTTAGTTTTGACAGGAGCCCTAAAATGTAAACAAACATGAACAAGAGAGAGGGCGTTTCAGTGGAAAGCCAATTATTAAGCCCGTTGTTTCGACCTATAATATGAGCAGATAATATTTTGTAAACATGCATAGAAATGTTTCTGGTGTTGGCAATAAGTAAATTTTCTGTTCAGACAGATAAAGAAAAATAACATTTTTGTAAAAGTTGTTCTAAATTGAAATTTGTGAAATGAAACTGTAGCAAAAACTCAATAATCTATAGAAATCATTTTGAGCATTAAGCAAGAAAAAGTTATTGTCAATGCAAGTTGAAAAGTTTTTTTAATTTTTTCAATATTTTGCAAGAGAATTGGAATAGCAGCCTCAAAATAGTACTGATAGTCTTCTTAGAATGTCTTTGCGTTGATAACAATATAAGTGTGAGTACACATTATGTCTTCAAAATGTGTTTTTACAGAAGACAATTTTCACAAATTTTGGCTGAAAATTGTCCTCTGTAAAAACTCATTTTGAAGACATAATGTGTGCTCATGCATATATTTTCATCAAGGCAAAGTCATTCAAAGACTATCAGTATGATTTTGGGGCTGCTATTTCAATTCTCACAAAAATAATGGGAAAAATACAAAAAATTTTAACTTTGCTCAGACAATAGGTTTGAATTTTTTCGTTAAAATATGTTTAGAAGATTAGGATAAGCTTACATATTTATATCTGGATATATTTGACTGTCATATGGCTATACAGTTCCGCAAGCAGCTTCTAGTACAGTTTGAAATAGGACTAGAAGTATAAACCACCATTTTATCTGATCTTAACACATAGATGAATAAACAGTATTAAGTGGATTAATTGATTGGTTCTTATCATGGACATGTAAAGAATTCTTGAAGATTATTAATGTATCAGGTTTCTATTTGCATCATTAATTTTTTTCAGTCAGGCATCTGTTGTTCCTATAATTAAACCTTTGTAATAGCTATGTCATAAAAAATACTTCATTTCGTGAAATTGTAAGCAAAAAACTGAAATCGGAATGATGCAAATAAAAAGCTCTTAGTGTTCCAGATACATTTACCAAGTGAAAAAGTTCTTTATTGGATTGTACACAAACCCAATGTCAGATTTTCATTTTAAATGAAAAGTGATGAATTGATTTAGTCATCTGTATTCTTGTAAAGAGATATGCAGTTAATGTGTACACATGAGCAGTAATATTTATTGATTAATCAAGGTATTGGTAGATGATATGTTTTTGTTATTCAGTAGTTAGTTATATGGTATGTACAAGGATATTGATGTAATGGTATGACTATGTTGCTGATGTAACTACTATTTTAAGAAGTAAATAAGTTAGATATTGGAGAACCTACAAGATGGATGAATTTTTATCTTTGACAAGAGAAGCTCTGGTGGGTTGAAACTTTATTTTTGAGCACTTTATCCTAAAATTTTTTTAATTTACTTGATTACCACAATATTGATTTATTATTAATTATTAGCAAGATAATTAATTATCTTTAATTAATTCATGATAGCTTGTTAACATATTTGAATTGAAACTTCAATATACATGAATTTCTTGAAATACATGGATTTCCAAAAAGAGACCAATAGAAGGGGTGGGCCAAAAACTAACTTGTGTGATTTGCGCTTGAAGTTTTTCTAAAAAGATTACAGAGTAAGAGTATTCTGATGATTAAAATTAAAATTACGATCAGTGAAAGTAATAATGATTCTATCTCTATCTATATCTCAATTGCAAGTTATCATTTTAATGAGAGTGAGAAGGAGGCAAATCAATGCTCTCTGATGACTTTATCGACCATTAATTTAAGAGATAAGAGAAGCAATTCAATCTGCTATTAGGTTTCTTCACATAGTCAATTGAAATCTGGGTCTATGGAGATTAGGAAACTTTCTCTCCTATTATTAATTGTCAATTTAGACTAGTTTCTTATTTTACTCCAGTGAAATCTTTCTAAAATGAATTAATAAATCTTTGTCTGTGAAACAATTTTTCTAGTGGTTATCACTTAGATTAATGAATTGAATATAAATATAACGACATACCAGTGCCATCTGCAGAAAGTAACCGTAATTTATATTTATTCATACCATACAACTAGAGTAGCCTTGGTTGTGAACTCAAAATGGAACTGTGATTTTTATATTTTACCATGCCTTGAATTACAAAATCAGATGAAAAGCATAACTTTTGGCCTTCTATTGAAGTGGTTTCCTATTTTTGTGGAATAATGATGACAGAATATATTTCAATTTACCCCAAATTACACGAATTAAGTGAAAAGCAGAATTTCATGTCATGGTGTAGTGGGAAGATTTGTGCAAACTCCTACCCCAGAGCTCACTAATAATGGCTATGTCAGGTCTTCTCTACATTTATATTGGCTTCAGCAAGTGTTTGGAAATGACTACATTGTAATCACAAGAAGTTGTTTTGGAATTTTGCCTTACGCCCACATCTCATTAACTATTGAATGACAGAAAAGTCAATATTTAAAACTATTATATATATGATACATCTGTGACATAATTGCTATTCATATACATGTCAACTTAAAAGTGACAAATTTAGATATGTTTCTTGAGAGTATATTATACTAGAATAAAGATCTAAATTGTAATTTTGTTATTTTATTTATTTGAAATGCTTGGGAATTGTTTTCCTTCCATTTTTTTTTAATTAAGACATAAAACTCCATTTATTTTATTCTTTCAAAAAATTGTTAAAATTAGATTGGGCATTTCTTTTGGGAACAGGCTGTGGTTTAGTTTGTAACAGTGTGAAGAAGAAAATAAAGGCATGTCCTTCTTGCTAAAAAAATAGTTATAGGTTCTTCTGTAAATTGCAACAGTCAGCATATTCAGGATGACCGCTTGAAACCTTGTATAACAATATATGACGCAGAATTACTTTTCAAGAAAAACGCAAAAAACTATTTGTACCCATATTTTGTTAAAATCTTTTTATTATTATTTATTTAATAATATATTTTACGAGGTTTTAAATCTGACTGTTTATATACGTGTTACATAATTAGTGCTTTTTGAGTTATTCACAATCAAGCTAAGAATACGCGGGTTTTGATCACAAGATCTGCGCTTTTACGAGCTTTCGAACGGTACCTAAAGGTCAAAATCACCAAATATGGCATATACGAGGTTTCAAGCGGTCACCCACGATATGAAAGGAACATTATCAGCTAACAATATCACTTATTAAAATGAAATCTGACTATCTGTTCCGTTTCACTTCTAAATAAATATTTAAATTTATATGTAATGTCATCCTCAAAGTGACTAGAGTCTTATTTTAATTATTAAGACATGTACAGATAGTTGAAATTGGATTCTATCAATTGATAAAGCAATCATTTAGATAATTACATTATATCCCTTTAAACTTGATAGTTGTTAGTGACATTTTGGTTTAATTACTCTATTGTGAGATAATCTTGTCGAACATAGAATTGTTTTTAAGGTATTGTATCACCATATCAAATGAAATGATTGAATAATATAAAATATTATTGTATTCTATTTCAGAATGAGTTAGAGGATTATAGTAAAGTACATGTTGTAATAGGAAATGAATCTTGTGATATAGATTCTGCTATATCATCACTAGTTTATGCTTATTATCTTTATACAGTAAGATATTTTTTCTCTTACATTTCAATTCTAGACTATAGTATTAGACTTATACCTTTTTCTTAGAAAAAATTCTCTTTTTGCACACCGATATTTTTGTCTGTGTCAATTATGAATGCAAATTGGTGAACAAAGGAAGGATGAAATATTCTTTACTTGAAACTCTCCTATTCGGACAGGGCAGAGATAGAGGCCCTTTGTGTTCAAGCTTATAAAATGACTTTTGGTGATTTAAAGTTTCACTGTACAACTTTTTTTTCCTGTAAACATTCATCACATTGTGAGAAAAAGTTATGTGTAGAATTGTCTTTTCTAAAATAGCAAAGCATTTAGCACCTTTTTCCACAAAGCAAATTTCAGTAGATAAAAGTGGAAGAGTGAACTTATATCAAGAATGTCTTATTTAGTGCTATCAAGATTCGAGTGTAGTTCTGTGATGTGAAAAATGTAGAGTTTCATTTGTCAGTTTTAACGGATGTAGACTAAATCAACTATAATTATCTATTGACTGTCTATATCAAATTAATTAACTACAGCCTTTCTCCACCATACTTTTATCTTGTATATTATATAGCATTATAGACAGGCTTCATTTTACATATCTTCAATATGTCATATAGCTAGGTAGAAATTATAAACAGAAAACACCATCTTGACAGAAACATTTTACAAGGTCAATCTTTTCAATACATTGATCCACAACATATTGATAAAAGATTCTCACCAACGGTTGAAACAGTTTTGGATACGAAATCTTCAAGTCAATATTTGAGTTGTGTGCATATGTGTTAATATTTACAAACAAACCATATGTAGTAACATATTGATTAGCTGTTGTAAAATCACAGTTCCAAGTAAAAGACATACCTCTGGAAATAAAACACAGCAGAAATATGTCCTAGTTTCAGATGTGTTTAAGAGACTTTGTTATTGGATTTGTCTTGTTTAGAAATTTATTGACATTGTGTCTAGATGGTCTAACATCATTGATGTTAGTATGTATGTAAATATAAGAAATAAATTTTGACTTGAGACAAAATTCTAGAATAGAATACCTGTAACGTTTGATTGTCCCATTATTTACCTCAATTTTATAGTCTGGATTGAAGAACAACTGAAGAACTTGAGATAAAAATTAGGGAAAATAGTCCTTATCAGTAATTATCTAACTTCCTGTGAAGTCTAGACTATATTAAACTGCAGGTTATATGAGATAAGCTCATGGAAGATGCTTTTTTATATGCCAGCTTGAAAATGTTTACTAAGTATCTGTCCATCCGTTGGCATGGCCTAAGAATTATTGCCTAAATACACCACTGTGTATATATTGATTATATCTCGGTTAAGTTCGAATTTCGCAATTATTGTATAAAGAGTTTTCAATGTTTTCTATGTTGCCTTGTCTGGCAAGCTATCTTCTAAAAGGAAGAAAGGATTTTACAACACCATGACTATGTATTTCCCAGTAATAATATGTTATGTATAAGTTGAATTAAATAAGACAGAGTAAGTGATGTCGATGTAATGAGGGGGTTTAGATGATGACAGTACTCTGTTATTCAGATAGCCCAATAGTTGACCTTACATGTCAAGAAATTGATCCAAAATATGACTAAAAAATCAGCAAATGTTTGGAAAGATGTCCATCTATAGGTACAAATAGACAATTAAAGACTTGAAGTTTACCTTTGAGTACTAGTACAGTATAGATTCTGAAAATAGATTAACAATATTATTTATTTTTGAAACAAAGACTCACAATGGAAACTGCTATAAGATCTTTAGAGCAGCTTTATCATGTATTACCAGACGTAAACATGATATTAGTTGTTATTCGTCTACTGATAATCTGACTAGATACTGATTTCACTCTTTTGACGTCATACATATTGCGTTTTGTAACAGACTTGATATCTCTAGTTTGACTATAATTCCCTAGACCGTATCAACAACACGGAAACATCATCTAAATATAGAACTGTCAAGTTTGATTTTCCTTGTGGTGTTTTATGAACACCGCAAATTAGGGTTAATTAGGGTCTGAAAAAAACAAGTCTAGGTATTTCACCTTGTGTCTATTGATTATTATGATCATCCAGTCTTTAATGCTGTCTCAGTCTTTAATTGGTCGTTAATAATTCAACGCACACCCCAATGAATAAAGGACTTTAAGTTTCAGACACTTTCTAAGAACTGATTTTTTTCTTTGGTTTTTAATGAGTTTCTATTAGTATCCAATATATTTCACTTTGTTCGAAAAAATCACATGAAATAAAGAAGATCAAAGGATTAAGATCAAAAGTATAAAATTTATAGGAGATATTTGAAATAACCTTTTCACTAAAGGAAAGGTTTTATAGTCAATGTCAGTATCAAGTCTCGGAGGGGAAACGTATTTTGGTCTCAGATACGGAATTGGTACAGCTTACTGTCAAAATTTCAGTCTTCTTAGCAATGTGTGTCATTACATTGACGACTCGCCATTTTTAAGCACAATTTGCAGGCAGACAATAAACTAGTGAAATTCCTATTTTGAAGTATATTTGAAAGAATTATGTGATTTTCGTGCAATTCATGAGGAACATTTCAAATCAACATCTGAAAATGGTGAAACATGGCCTTTAAGAGGTGTTTTCGCAGTATTGGAAATAAAATGTTGTCAGTCAGTAATAAAACTAAGCAGAAAACCGCAATTTTTATTATTTCTTCTTGGAATTAGATTTAAAACTAAGAAGCTGTAATATGCAAGTAAAGCTGATTTTAAACATTTTCTAAGAATCTTGACAGGAAAGCAAATTATAGTGATCTTTACTGATCAACATTCAATTATGGTGTCAATTGCTGTAATCTGGATAGCAGATGTTCAATATCAATAGAAATATTTTGTTGATTTGCAACAATTTAATTCAAATCATTTCAAATTGGTTTAATGTAACTTGAGAATAATGAAGAAGTTTCTGTATTAAGGAAGGAATATAACTATTTATAGTAATTTAATCAATAATTTTGATCAGGGATGTATTTTGAATGTGATACTCTAAAAGTGTGGGATTTATGTTTTTAAGTTGATCACCATCACATACAAATTGTAGCTAAAGAATGTATTCTCAGAGGTAGAATTTCTTTAAAACTTACAGCCTGATATAACATCTTTGACTGGAGATTCAAAAACTGTCAGATACACCATAAATAGCCATACTAACTATCAAAAGAAGTTCTCTTACGTTTGTATGTGTATGGGAACACTTTAAGCTCATGGATAAAAATCGTTGATAGATATTGCGATAGTGATGTCATCATTGGATAAAGGTACTTTGAAATAATAGACATCAGACAGGAAATCAGGAATAGATTCTGTTAGCTTAAGTGTTCCTGATACTTATAAAATGGTTAGAAAATCTCATTCAAATCCTTTGAAATGCTCTGTTTTTTATAGAATTAGTTAGCTACTAAAAACACTTACAATTAATGCTTTCTTCCCTTCATTATTTCTTTTCCTTGCAGTCTTAATAATTAAAATGTACATCAAAGAAATTCATTTCTTATTTAAAGAGTTCTTGTAGGTGATATTAAAAGAAAAGTAACATATAATGGAAAATGGCATGTCAGTACTGAAAAAAATGTGAGTGATTGATAACGCATTCTCAGTGTGAACAAGCTGTTTCGGGAATGACACTATTTTAACAGTGTCTCCATGGAAACACTTTTTTATATTTTTTTCATTCAAATGAGATTTGTATCCGATTAAAAAGGCTTTTAACGAAGATGTCAGTTTTAAATTTAGAATAAGTAGACCAATAGAGGTCTTAATATATTAAGATGAAATTCAAATATATTATTTCACTTTGATCAAATGCTAGTTATGGTTTCATTAATGTAACAATTAATATACATTTTTAGAACAATTCTCATAAGATTAAAAAGTCAGGTCAAATTTTTTTGTGCTTTGTTGTCATGGCTTTATTATTGACATATGTTAAAGGTGATGCAGGACTGTACATTGAATATAATATGGTTCTCTCTTGACCCATTCCGCAAGACCTTAAACCTATTCAGCAATCACCTTAACTCACAGTCACAGGTCTTACAGTTGCCACACTTGAGATTCCAAATCCTTTATTGGAAATTAATTCCAAAAGATTCAAGAATGAATTCTGTTTAAAACCAGATTTTGTTGTTTAGATATTTTTTTTTTCAGTGAAAATTTAAAGAAAATAAAATGTCAATTGTCTGGAGTATTATAAAAAGATGTTGTTTCTGAAAACAGTCAATTGTCACTTTTATATTTCCAGTAGTTTGTTTTGGAATTGTTGATTTAAGAAATATTTTCATACAATTTAATGTTTATTTAACAAAGATGTTTTTGTAATAATTGACAATGTTCCATTCACTTAAAATTTTTGTCTTTCAGTGTAAAACTGTATTGTTTGTGCTGGGCAAAAAAACCTATGCCCAGTCTGCCTTTTACAAATACTTACAATTACCGATAAAAGAGTCATGTCGCTTTCATTTTGGCCGTTTAGCGCTGATTTGTAGTTTTACCTGTTTTGGGATGTTGGTAGAAATAATTATCTACAGAGTTGTGTTCTCTTAATTTGCAAATTGACATATTTATCTGTGTAAATAAAGGAAGTTGGTAATAGCTTGTCATTGTGAAGATGTTATTCAGCATACAATATAAGTATTCATTGCTGATAATATAAGTTTATTATTGTAAGCAACAAATTTGAATGTGTAACACGACGCATGTCCACATGGAAAAAAATGTTAATGGCTAACAGAAGATCAATAATGTTGCGGGTATTTTCTGAAATGGAAAAATGACTTGTGAAAGACTACTTGTGGATAGTTGAAGATTGGTTAAAATGTTAGTAATTGTATTAGTTTGGTAGGTTGTAGCTGGAGGGTTATATTAGTCTCCGATAGTTGACTGTAAATACTAGTCTTGTGTGTCGACACTGACGACAGTACTTAGTGACAGTAGTGTGACAATATTGATGTCATGAATATATACAGTACTAACTTACTATAGCTGACAGTGTTTTAAAAAAAATAGTCATATATATTCTTTATTAGATTATATCTTTATGATGAAGTGTTATGGATATTCTTTTTGACAGTTGAAGTCTTGATAAGGTATTTCTTGTTTTAAAAAGAATTTTTTAAAATAATGAAATTGACATTTACTGTACAGATCGAAAAGTAAGAAACCTTTTTGGCAAATAATATTAGGATTATAGTTTAAAAAATGTTAATTCGTATTGCAATGAAAATGTTAAAATTTAAGTTTCTTAAGAGGGAAATACATGACATAAATAGATAGCAATTTATTCTTACTGAAAAAAATTTGTTAATCGTCTGAAATAAAAAGTCAGTTACTGATAACAGTTTAAAAAATTTGAATTTAATACTGAAATAGAAATTCTGCTTTAGAATGATATAAATATCTATTACCTATTTTAATTCCAATCACTTACAATTTTTTGCGATTTTCTATTTCAGATTGATGAAGATGAAAGTGTTCTGTTTTTACCACTTATGCAAATTCCTCGCAGCAAGTTCCGATTACGATTAGAAGCTGTTCATTTTCTGGAGAAAATTGGAATAGAACCGGATATTTTATCTTTTTATGAGGACATTTCTTTAGAAGAATTACAAACTAAAGGCAAATTATTATTGACTCTAGTGGACCACCATGTTCTAGCACCTAATTTAAGTGACCTTGAATCTAGCGTTGTGAAAGTTATTGATCACCGTCCTATATCTAAACAATGGCCGACCAGGTATGTTTTACACTTAATGTTGTATTTAGACTTAAACAAACTACAATCTTGGCATATATTCACGCAGATTATGAGAAATAGTCAGTCATTGATTTAAAATTCAAATACAAATTCAACAACTCTTCTCTTGCTAATAGTTGCATTGTTTTACCCAATGAGTTTGGGTATATTATTATCTATATTATGATCCAAGTGCTATATTTTTTAACTCTGTGTAGGCCTTCTACTGATTTTTTTCTCTTGGAAATCATTATGAATAGTAAGTAGCCTCACAAAGCTGACCATACTCTTTACCTCAAAAGATCACATGGGAATATCCTGCAGAATATGCAGAAATGTCTTGATGGATTTATTTATGGTTGTGCTTTGTAACCATGCCAAAAGCTTTGCCAAATTTAGCTTCTGTCATGGCAGAAATTCTCAAAATCTAGCGACCAGAAAATGTGACCTTTTGAGTCTGGTCTTAACTCTGACGATATCTCATCTGTATAGCATGTCCAAGTAACAGAGGTAGGGCCATGTATTTGTCAGGCTATATAGATCGGTGAGTATATATCACTACTATGAAGTGTCATCATGCATGGCGTTCTAATAAGGCAAATTTGATAATGCTGGCAATATAAACAAAATTTGCAAAATATGAGTACAATATGTTTTTAAGGCAATAGTTTATGTCTGGACCAAATTATAGCCAAATTTAACCACAAACATTTCTTGACAAAAATGTCAGATATAACATTATAAAACCTTATTCAGAATGTTTTATTTGATAAAAAAAGTTCTATATTAGTTTGTTAGTAAGGAAATGTCCCAAATTGTCTATTAATTTACAATAAGTTTTCTATTCAAGATATTCTATTCAATAATTAACAGGCTGTAAAATTATGAAGGTGTATATTTGAATAATTAGGCTATTCTTTTTGTCTGGAAACTCTACTGGGATATCTATTAATTATAATAATAATGCTTTATATTCGTATCATTGCCCTTGACAGTTTCACTGTCTGGAAATCCATAGCCTCTATTTTTAGATAATGAATAAGCATTTATGATTTACAATCAGTTTCTATTTAGATAATATTCATAATATGTTCATTGCTGTACTGTATTTTTTAAAGAAATACTTCCCAAACATGGCTGGGAACAACTTTTTAGTAAATCAGCTACTTTTTTAGCACAAGCATGAAAATTGTGCTGGAAATCAGTAAATTGTATCTGGTTAGTAACTATAAGCTTACCATCTTGATTTCTCGAGTCTTACTTAAAGGGATTGTAAAGAGGTTTTCTAAATTCTCTATGTGTATGGGGAACACTAAATGCATCAATTTGCACCATTACAATTTTCAATCAGGTTCCTGCAATTCCACTAAAACTAAGTGTTTGATGACATCACTAATCTCTAAGGCCTTTATGATAAAGCATTTTTTGCGATTAATGAAATCATCAAACACTTAGTTTTAGTGGATTCACAGATGTCTGATTGGAAATATTAATGGTTCAAATTGATGCTATCAGTGTCTCTGAAACACATAAACTGTTTAGTAATCCTCTTTACAATCCCTTTCATATTTTGAGCAATTGACAATAGATTACAGTTTATTCTAGGCATTCTATGATAAATTTGTTCACTTGATGTTCCAAGTTTTTTAAGTACATAAAAAAGTCAGCCTGTACATAAACCACTAACCTTTTATGTTTGGCAGAAAATGCCATCCATGTGGCATCATTGATGCCAGAGGCTTTGCTTAAGCTTTAGATATTAGAGATGGGTTTTGACATTTCAATGTTAGCCCAAAGCTTTCTGTTATATTTGTACACAAAAGGAGAAACAGTTGAACTGACCAAGTTTTTTTCTCTTATTTGTAAAACACAATATATTCAATGATGGAGTCTTTTTGGCAAGTACATCTGTTTCAGACAAATTAGTGTTTAAGTGTAAACAACAATATTTATTTTCTGTCTTGCTAGTGGTTTGAAAATCTTCAGTTTTATAAAAATTCATCACATAAAGTGTGGCAGTGGTCAGTTATCAGCTAGTTGCATTTTTGTTGAAATTACTTGGTGCAGAGAATGTTTGATATCAGTCTGATGTTTACCTGGAGTCAGCTTTATGCTCTGTCACAGAAATGTGCTGATTAATCAAAATCATTTGATATTTTTAAAAGGAAGCACAAAGGGTAGATAGTTGTAAACTTTCTATATTGTTTAAGTAAGTGAATATTATCATTGTAATATAAGAATATAGTGAAATAGAAGTTTATCTTATCAATATACTGATAATAATTAGTTTTTATTTATGTACTTATATCACATAAATTATATAGATAACATCACACCTTCTCCTTTAATATATTATCTCTCATCAATAATTGACTATAAATGTTCTTATATTCATATTAAAAGTCTTATAAATCTTAATTATTGCAGAAAAAATTTCAATTCAGCCTGTTTTTTAAGAAAAAGATTTGAATAGATTAAGTTTGACCAACACAAAATCAAGATTATGAATCATTTCAGAAGCAATGGTGTTGCTTGAATATATCATAAATTAGGTTATTCACCAAGAGCTGTAGAGATAAATTAGCTATATTTTGTTGGAATAAGAGGAGAATCTGATATAATATGGATCCACCATTTTGATAGGAAATTGAGTTAGCTAGGGTTATTGAAGGAGGCAATCAAAGAAAGTATAGAGCAGACTTGAATCTTATTTCATCTAATTGATACTGAAATCATCTATGTGATGTGTAAATGACACACACAGATAAGAAGAACAGCATTAGTGTCTGTAGTTATTAAGATCTTTACATTAAAATCTCTTTATATTGATATCTTAAAATATTAATAGTTGAGCAGAAATAACACGATCCATGTATTACACTTAATGATATGAGTTAAATCCTACCCTAATTATATGTTTCTTACATTTACTGCTGCTCTTTACTACTAGTTTGATAAGTCAATTTGAATACCATGTCATATGGTTCTGAGCAAATATTTTGTTTCTATGAATCTAAGCCCTGTCACACTAGACTGTGACCATTTGCGATTTAACAGCGACATGAAATGTACTATGTTGAGATAAAATGTAAGGAAAACTAGAAAAAGTCCTAAATATTACAAACTTAGAACACAGTTGACCTCTTACCGTGAGTTATACGACCATACTTACATTTACAAATCGCAAAACATTTGTTGTTTTGAACATGTTGAAAATAAATTCTGTGACATTCTTATACCATGCTTCTGGTGACCTTAACACGCTCTGAGCCAATTCTCTACAGTAGGAGAGCAGAGCAGTAAGAACGCCATTCTGGTGTCACAAGGCCATTAATGGTTTAGCCAAATCAAATCTTTGACCAATCCTTATTTTTGATATTATCACATAATGTCCATGTTGAATGAAGATTTCAGTCAAAATATGTGTAAAATATATATCGGTTCAATGTAAAAATTCTTTGAAATTTGATGACAACAGATAATTCCTGAATATCTAAATGTTCCTGGGTATGAGCCTTTTTTCCAAATAAGTGTCAACCCGTACCTCTCTTTTCTATTCACTTTTGCCCTCAAGGAGGTCGATCAGAAATCAAATCTCTATCATACGCTTCCTAACAATATACTTAGTCTAGCTATCAGCTTAACTTACAAACCCAGACAGGTCAAAATAATTGGTCTTTTATAGACTTTCAGGATTATTCCACCATATGTCTTCGAACTAGATCTGTCTATGATCAATTTGATTTCATTAGGAAGATTTTATTGTCCTCAGTCTAGTAACGATCGTGTCACAGAAAATAACCTTTTCAAATCAAAATTATAAACTATCATTTAGTCTGGTATGTTGAGCTCTTATTTCTTCCTGTTATATTTTTTAAGCAATTTTCTTTCTTGATTTCTTTGACGAAAAGAAAGAACTTTTAATTGCTTTCTAATTATTTCAAAATTTTCTTATTACTCTACTCTATATTTTGTGATATCTATTTTTGGTATGACAAAAAATCATTTTGTCTTCAAATCTGGTTAAAATTGTTTTCCAGCAGTTCAGTTTATCTCAAATTTTTCAAATCCACCATTTTATTCCAAAGTAGAATTGAGCTCAATGTTATCTAGTTCTCCAGTTTGATTCTGTTCATCCAATCATGAGGGTTTGAATATAATTTCAGTTGTTAAATTTGCTTAGAATCAGATAATTTGATCAATGATTTACTGTAAATTTTGATTGAAAAGAATATCACATGCATGTTCAAACCAAAAAACATTAGGTGTTGCAAATTGACAGACTAGCGAGCATGGTCTGTTTAAGATTTTCTCAAAGGTTTTGGCTTGCTGCTATCAAGGAGTTCTGTCAAGTGAATAGTCTTGATTCAAGTCAAGGTTTTCTTAATTTAGTCAAGTTTTAGCTGAAGACATTGTATTGAAAAAATAAGTCAATAACTTTGGTAAAGCTTTTACTAGAATTTACACTTGAGGTGGCATTTAATTTCATATAAATCTTTCTGCTAGAATAGAAACAAATGTTATACCCTAGATTTTATAAAAAAAACAAGATGTGCTGCTAGGTGGAAAATAAGATAACTAGTATTATGTGGAACATGTGTTGAATATTGATTGCCTCTCATGACATCATTATTAGAAAATAACACAACATTACTTCATTCAATATTCCATGTTTACATAGAGACCATCTACTTCTTCTTCTAACTAATTACTTTAATTTCTTCACTTGTACATGTTCTGGTAATCCTCTGTCTTATTTTTTGGTTGCCACAATGACTGGGTTAACAAGACACTTAGAAACTATATTGCAGCTAGCCTGGAACATCTGCCTCTATTCCAGCCTCTGTAAAATATATTGACAGTTATCGACTGGATTAGAGTCAGAAAAACTGTCCTGTTTTATTGAGATTTTCCAAACCTCCGAAGATGGGTTTTTTTTCTAACATAATATTAAATTATCTTTAAGGTGACTGTAAATTGTTGGGTATCATTGTATCTTT